TATATATCCAGGTCTCCCACACGGGTGGCAGGGGCCCAAGCACTTGAGTCATCTTCTGCTGCCTCCTGGGAGGTAATAACAGGAATATTAGATGGGAAGCAGAGCGAGGACTCAGTCTGGGATGGGGACATTGCAAGTGGCAGCTTAACCCACTGCAACACAATGTCTATTGCACCACAATCCCCATCCCCTTTCTTTCTTTTTTTTTTTTAATAAAGGCAATCAGTATACCTTTTTTAACTTCTTAAAAATTATTTTATTTATTTCAAAGACAGAGTTACAGAGAGAGGCAGAGCGAGAGCGAGAGAGAGAGAGAGAGGTCTTCCATTCCACTGGTTCACTCCCCAAATGACTGCAACAACCAGAGCTGAGCTGATCCGAAGCCAGGAGCCAGGAGCTTCTTCCAGGTCTCCCACACGGGTTCAGGGGCCCAAGGAGTTGAGCCATCTTCCACTGCTTTCCCAGGCCATAGCAGAGAGCTAGATCGGAAGTGGAACAGCTGGGACTCAAACCAGTGCCCACATGGGATGCTGGTGCTGCAGACTGGTGCTTTAATCTGCTGTACCATAGCGCCAGCCCCCTCCATCCCCTTTCAACCAGTGGAGTTGCAGATCTGTGTCTGGGTTGTTTTTCCCTCTTCCTGATGCTCTAGGTCTTTGATACCTTGGGTCTGGGATTCCACGGATACTTTGTGAGACCTGGAGGGTGGTTCCTGCCCTTTATAAGAGACAGTGCGACATCTCTGTGAATTGTCTTTCCTTATCTATTCAAATGGCCACCTAAAGAGGATCTATTGGCTGCGGCTCACTTGGCTAATCCTCCAACTGTAGCACCAGCACTCCGGGGTTCTAGTCCCGGTTGGGGTGCCAGATTCTGTCCCAGTTGCTCCTCTTCCAGGCCAGCTCTCTGCTGTGGCCCAGGAGTGCACCCACATGGGAGACCAGGAGAAGCACCTGGCTCCTGGCTTCAGATCAGCGCGGTGCGCCGGCCACAGCAGCCATTTGGGGGGGGGGGGGAGTGAACCAACGGCAAAGGGAAGACCTTTCTCTCTGTCTCTCTCTCACTGTCCACTCTGCCTGTCAAAAAAAAAAAAAAAAAAAAGATCGATCCTCTGTTCCTGTCCTAGGAGGTCCATGTTCATGCACCTTGCTGGTTTCCACCTAAAATGCTTAATCCAACCTTTATTTATATGCAGGGAAGCATAAAGGGCCCCCCAAAGCTATTGAAGAAGAGAGAACTAGTGTCTGATACTCTTCCTATGAAAAACTTTTTTTAAAAAGATTTATTTATTTATTTGAAAGTCAGAGTTACACAGAGAGGAGAGGCAGAGAGAGAGAAGTCTTCTGTCCGATGGTTCACTCCCCAGATGGTCACAATGGCAGGAGCTGCACCGATCTGAAGCCAGGAGCCAGGAGCTTCTTCTGGATCTCCCACATGGGTGCAAGGGCCCAAGGACTTGGGCCAACTTCCACTGCTCTCCCAGGCCATAGCAGAGAGCTGGATCAGAAGAGGAGCAGCCGGGGTTAGAACCAGCGCCCATAAGGGATGCCGGTGCTTCAGGCTAGGGTGTTAACCCCCTGGACCACAGCACTGGCCCTTCCTATGAAAAACGTAGTGAGCACCTTCTTGCAGCATTCTTTATGACAGCCCAGAGACAAGCAATTCAAATGTCTGTGACAGATGAATGGCTGAAGAGAACGTGGTCTCTACAGACAATGGGAAACCATCCAGCTTTAAAGAGGGAAGTTCTACCACGTGCTGCACCATGGATGAACCTGGAAGACATTATGCCAAATGAAATAAACTTGTCACAAAAAGCCAAACACTGCACGATTCTACCTGGATGAGGTATCTAAGACAGTCAAGCTTGTAAAGGTAGAACCGTGGGTGCCAGGGCCTGGGAAGAGAAAGGAAGAAGGAGCTGTCAGTGGGTGCACAAATAGGCTTCAAGAAGTTCCTGGAAGAGTAGGGTGGGCATTTAACCTAGTGGTTAGGATGCCCGTGTCCCACACTGAGTGCCTAAGCTTGATTCCTAACCCAGGTCCCAGGAGGCAGCAGTGACTACTCAAGTAATCGAGGTCCTGCCAACCATGTGGGAGACATGGGTTGAGTTCCCAGCCCCTGGCCTAGCCCTGGTGGTTGTGGGCATTTAGAGAGAACCATTGGATGGAAGCTGTTTCCACTTGCTCGTTCTTTCTCTCCCTCTCAAATAAATAATTAAAAAAAATCTTAGGCTTGTGGAAAAAGGGAAAAGATATTGCAAATTTTTCATGAACTGAAAGAAAGAAAAAAAGAAAGACAGACAGACTTCGGGCAGGCACCGTGGCATAGAAGGTTAAGCCTCTGCCTGTAGTGTCGGCATCCCGTATGGTTGCTGGTTTGAGCCCCAGCTGCTTTGCTTCTGATCCAGCTCCCTGCTAATGTGCCTAGGAAAGCAGTAGAAGATGGCCCAAGTTCTTGGGCCTCTGTATCCACGTGGGAGACCCAGAAGAAGCTCCTGGCTCCTGGGTTTGGATCGGCGCAGCTCTGGCCATTGCGGCCTTTTGGAGAGTGAACCAGCGAATGGAAGATCTCTCTCTGCCTCTGCCTCTGCCTCTGCCTCTCTGCAACACTGCCTTTCAAATAAATAAAAATCTTTAAAAAATGTATTTGTTTTTTATTTGAAAGGCAGAGTGACAAAATAGGAGAGACAGAGAGAGAGAGAGAGATCTTCCAGTCACTGGTTCACTCCCTAAAGGGCTGTAACAACTGGGTCTGGGCCTGATGGAACTCAAGAGAAAGGAACGCCATCCTGTTCTTCCACGTGGGTGGCAGGGGCCCAGGTACTTGGGCCATCTTCCACTGCCTTCCCAGGCATGTTAGTAGGAAGCTGGATGAGAAGTGGAGCAACACACCCACTCTGATATGGGATGCTGGCATCATAAGCAGCAGCTTCACTTGCTGCACCACAATGCCGGCCTCTACATGAACTTTTTGAAGCCCTCTCATATGAGTCCATTGTCTGTTGCTAATAACACAATACCAAATAATGGGTAATTTATAAAGAAAATAGGTTGGGGCTGGTATGTGGCATAGCAGTGTAAGCTGTCGCTTTTAACAACAGGTCACATATCTGAGCGTTGTGGCAATAAGTCCCAGTTGCTCTGCTTCTGATCCAGCTCCCTGCTAATGCCCCTGGGAAAGCAACTTAAGATAGCCCAAGTGAGGCTGGTGCTGTGGTGTAGCAGGTAAAGCTGCCACCCACAGTGCTGGCATCCCATACAGGTGCCTGTTCAAGTCCTGGCTGCTCCACTTTCGATCCAGCTCTCTGCTATAGCCTGAGAAAGCAGCTGAAGACGGCCCAAATGCTCGGGTCCCTGCACCCATGTGGAAGACCTGGAAGATGCTCTAGGCTCCTGGATTCAGACTGGCACAGCTTTGGCCATTGTAGCATGTGGAGTGAACCAGCAGATGGACGACCTCTCCCTCCTTCTCTCTGCCTCTGCCCCTCTATAACTCTGCCTTTCAAATATATAATCTTTAAAATATATATATATAATATAATCTTTAAAAAAAAAGGAATAAAGACTTGCTCCCTTGGAGGTACCTGTGGCCAAGTCACTAAATTCTGGACCAAAGAATGTAAGCAGAGGAACACAGATGACTCGGGGGCAGGTGTCCTTAAAATAAAGGCAAACCCTCTTGCAGCCCTTCTTCCTCCTGTCTGTTGGCTGGAATGACATGATGGTTGGAGCCTGAGTGATCATGCTGGGCCATGAGATAGAATCCAAGCATAACTGATGCCTTCAGGTCAGTCCCTGCACACAGTGAGTGACGTATTGATGCTGCATGTGTTGCACATGGAGAGACTGGAAGCTGTGCTATGATTCTGCCATGTCTAGTATGACCCAGGTAGTTCAGTGCTTATGGTTGAATGAAATCACAGTCTATCAAGTGCCCACACGGAAAGTACAGAGGCTTCTGAAGACAAACATTTACGAACTGGAAGCTAAATCGTTGGCATCTCTGATTTTCCCATTCATTCATTCAAGTATTAATGGAGTGATCTTTTATCTGCTGGGTCCTATTCTGATGCTGGAAAAAGAGCATTCAACAAGACCAAGTCTTTATCCTCCCAGGATGTTAATGAACAGGTAATGTCTTCCTCCCACTTCCCACCGGGTGATATGAAAAGTCTCAGTATCTATAGGGAGAGAGGGGGGACAACTGAAATATGGAAGGAATTTTGAACTGTGGCCAAGGAGTGCTTTTTCTCTTGCCCAAGATTCCTCAGAATATCCGTTTTGGAGAGAGGTAGGAGACGTTCCTGCCCCAGCTTGTCTTGGGGGGTTAGGGTTGGGTCAGGGCTCCGATATGAAATCAAGAAACTCTTGTAAGAATTCACCAACCAGATCAGTTCCTTAAGCTTCTTCAGGGTCTCCAGGAATCCCAGTTACCAAAAAGGGATTTCCAGCACCAGTAATCAGCAAATGTGGAAAGTGCACCAGTGGGGACCTATGTTTTCTAAACTACAATCATGGCAGGAGGTCTAAGAAGTCCTTTTTCCTATGGGGTCCATTGAAACTATAGTTTTTTTTTTTTTTGAAAAGATTTATTTTATTTATTTGAAAGACAGAGTTACAGAGAGAGGTAGAAACAGAGAGAGAGAGGTCTTCCATCTGCTGGTTCACTCCCCCAGATGGCCACAACTGCCAGAGCTGAGCTGATCCGAAGCCAGGAGCCAGGAGCTTCTTCCAGGTCTCCCAAGTGGGTTTAGGGGCCCAAGGACTTGGGCCATCTTCTACTGCTTTCCTAGGCCATAGCAGAGAGCTGGATTGGAAGTGGAGCAGCCGGGACTAGAACCGACACCCATATGGGATGCTGGTGCTTCAGTCCAGGGCTTTAACCTGCTGTGCAACAGCACTGGCCCCAAAACTATAAAGTTTTAAACTCAAATCTTTCCCCAAATGTAGACTTGGAGCATAAGACATCATAGTAGTCATATTACTTAGGCTCATCACCCTGGAAATTAACAACTCCAGCATCCAACCAGTGATTTGCTGTATAAGGCAAGGCATTCAGACCACTGCTTCTGAGAAATTTCATTCCATCTGGGGACACATAACAAGGAAAATGAAGGGCATATTCACCATTCTTGGTCTCCTGGGAAGTCGGACATAAAATAATCTTTAAACAAAAAGAGTTATATACGTATGTAATTGCAAGACAGCATGACAGAGTTGAGGGGAGAGAGGGAGGGAGAGAGATCTTCCATCTGCTGGTTCACTCCCAAAATGCCCGCAACAGCTGGTGCTGGTCCAGGCCAAACCCAGGAGCCCACAACTCAGTCCAGATCTCCCACATGGATGGCAAGAATGCAAGGACTTGGCCCATCTTCTGCTGCTTTCCCAGGTGCATTAGCAGGAAGTGGAGGATCCAGGACTTGAACTGGCACACTGATATCAGATGCCAGTATCATAAGTGGCAGCTTCACCCACTCTGCCACAATGCTGCCCTCTAAAATGTACATTTTTCTAGAGTTGCCCATAGCTTTTACCAGTTTAAAAAAAAGGATGGGGGTGTACATGACCCAACTGTGAATAGAAAGCATTGTCTAGGCACTGGGGAGCCATCACAATTTGGAGCAGGCGAGTGATTGGAGATTTGCTTTGTACACTTATGCACTGATGGAACAGGGGTTGGCAGGAAAGTTGTCCAGAGGATCACACAAACCCCAAGGTGGATACTAAGCTGGCAGGGGACTGAGAGAAGGACAGGTGTCTGAGAGGCAGAATGCAGCAGGTGGAGGGGAGTTTGGATGAAGGTATGCAGGGGAATAAATGTAAGGATTAGAATTGTGGTTCCAGGCTAGCGCTGTGGCACAGAGGGTAAAGCTGCCGCCTGCAATGCCGGCATCCCCTATGGGCACTGGTTCGAATCCTGGCTGTTCCACTTCCGATCCAGCTCTCTGCTATGACCTGGGAAAGCAGTAGAAGATGGCCCAAGTCCTTGGGCCCCTGCACTTGTGGGGGAGACCCAGAGGAAGCTCCTGGCTCCTGGCTCCTGGCTTTGGATCAGCACAGCTCCAGCCATTGCGACCATCTGGGGAATGAACCAGCAGATGGAAGACCTCTCTCTCTTTCTGCCTCTGCCTCTCTGTAATTCTGCCTTCCAAATAAATAAACAAATATTTAACAAGAAAAAAGAATTATGATTCTAACTCTAAGGAAAAATATGTCAAAGAAATTATGATTGACTTTCACGCTAAACAATTTCTTATAATCTGCCTAGAGACAGAAAAAAAATGCAGCCCAGCTGTGGTCTAACCCACAGATCCACCAGGAAGTTTGTTAGGACTTCCTTTTGTCCACGATGTGTTCTGATGTGACAGTCAGATACACTTTTCTCTCCTCTGAGTCCGAATCCTGTTACTCGTACCCAGAAATTCTTCAGGACGCTAAAGACTTGAGGGGAAACCTAGAGCAGTTTGCTCACCTGCATCTAAGATTGTATTTCACTGGGTCACCTTAGAGCCTCCCTCATCTTTGCAAAGCAGGAGGTCTCCCCATGGGTCCACAGAGGGTTCGTGTTTCATGACTTGTGCAAGGTCCACAGCAGATAAAGTACGGAGAAAACCACTCGATAGTTTTCAGCCTAAACACCTGTGCTGTGCTGTGCATTAGAACCTAGGAAGAGAAGCAGGTTTGCAGGGAAGGTGAAAGTAAAATTATGAAACTAGGTTTCAACAAACTGAAACCAAGGCATCTCTGAGGCATCTGATCCGTCTGGAATCTTTTGGTTATGAGTGACAGAAACCAGCGAAGACTGACTAAGTAGAACAGGGGATGGTTGGACTCCCAGAGGTAAAAACCGCAGCGGGACCAGCACGGTGGCACAGCCAGCACTCCAGCATCCCGTATCAGAGCGCTGGCTGGAGTCCCCGCCGCTCCTCTTCCAATCCGGCTCCCTGATAATGCACCTGGGAAAGCAGCAGAAGACAACCCAGGTGTATGAGCCCCTGTACCCACATGGAAGACCCAGAAGCAGCTCCTGACTCAAACTGAACTTGGAAAACTTGGAAGCAGATCCTTCCCCCATTGAACTTTCAGATTAGACCCCAGCCCTGGATGACAGACAACAACGAGAGGACCCAGCTGAGCCCTGCTCAGATTTCTGAGCCACAGAAGCTGTGAAAAAATAAGTGTGTGTTTTAAGTCACTATATTTTGTGCTAATTTTTTTACATGGCAATAGACAACTAATAGAGCTACATTTAGGGACTACCTCCCCCCCCCCCCCCCCCCCCCCCCAGGGGGGGAAGGGGGCAGGCCCCCAAGAAACCTGGCGACTGGATTTTCCGCAAAAGTATTTCTTCCAAAGAAAAAAAAAGGGTTGTTTCCCAAAAGGGGTGGAAACTGGGAGGCAAATGCACCAGCTGTCGTCCACCTCACACATCTATTTGGGAATATAAGGAGGCGGCTGGAACTACATCTAGAGATATAGATTTGGTAGTGATTCATGCATAGGCAAATACTGAAGCCATAAGAAACGATGACATTGCCCCCAAAGGGAGAAGGCTCAAGGGCAAATCTCTTGGAAGTGGCAACAATTAAGGGGCAGATGAGGTGATTAGCTGAGGGCAGAGGTGTAGAGACGTGTTCATTGTTGTACAAATTCAGCCTGTTTAGTTGGTAAAAGAGAGATAAATCTGTGAAGATCACAGCTGGGCCTTCAGTTCCTAAGTGGTATTTTTGGGAAGCCATCGATATAGAAGCAAGTGTCAAAATCAGGGAGAAAGTCTGGCCGGAAAAGGTAGTCAGGAAAGGTATTCCTGGCCGAATCTGTATAATTGGGCAGCAAGGGCAGGAAGAGAACCCACAGGGAAGAAGCTGGAAAAGAACAGTTGGAGAGGTAGGAGGCAATCTAGGAGAGACTAGTCTCCCAGAATCCCTGAGCACTTAAGACTGATGCAGTCAATAACAGCAAATGTTAAAGAGAGGTTGAAGTGATGAGAACTCAGAAGAGAATGGTGGATCGCTAACAAGGAGGTCCACTGGCGTCCCAGGAGGAAGCATTCCAGAGGAAACCGGGGGCAGAAGCAGGGCTGTGTGGGCTTTTGCAGCTGCGAGTGGGTCATGAAGCAGAAGTGTGGCAAGCGGGCTGGCATCGTGAGACGTTTCATGAGAGGTGGAGGGAAGACCGGGACATACAGATAGGCTGAGGCGAAAAGTCTGGGCTTCCACTCAGATCTCTGAGTACAGTTGCCTTTCTTGAGTGCTGTTATATCTTTCTGAGGTAACAGGGTTCAAGACTGCCCACAGACTAGACGTTGGCAAAATCTTGTAAAGAGCTAGATGAAAGTACTGTAGGCTCTTGCGGGCCGTAAGGCCTCTGTCACACCCATTCAACTCTGCCTTGGGTAGTGTTTGTTAGAAAGCGCTGTGGCTCACTTGGTTAATCCTCCGCCTGCAGTGCCGGCATCCCGTATGGGTGCCGGGTTCTAGTCCCGGCTGCTCCTCTTCTGGTCCGGCTCTCTGCTGTGGCCTGGGAAGGCTGTGGAGGATGGCCCAGGTGCTTGGGCCCCTGCACCCACATGGGAGACCAGGAGGAAGCACCTGGCTTCTGGCTTTGGATTGGCGCAGCGCTGGCCGTGGCGGCCATTTGGGGGTGAACCAATGGAAGGAAGACCTTTCTCTCTGTCTCTTTCTCTCTCACTGTCTAGCTCTATCTTTCAAATGAAAAAAAAAAGAAAGAAAGCAGCCGCAGACAATATGCAAACAAGGGAGTTGGCTAAGCTTCAATCAACCGTATCTGCCACAAACCTGGAGGAGACAGGAGTTGGCCCAAGGAGTGCCATCTGCTGACCTTGCCCTAGGCTTATGGAAAGGGATCGGAGATATGATAAATGAGGTAAACTGATGAAGCATGGGTACGAGCAAGACTTCAGGGTCTTGCACCAGAAAGGTGTTTGCAGGTATTTGGGAACTGGCTACCCTGTGATTTCCCCTTCAGGTATCTGCTCTGTGGTCTCCTACTGTGAGCACCTCAGGACCAGGAATGTTTCCTAGTGGTGATTCCAGAGCCCTCCATGCAGGCAGTGCTCAGATACTAAAGCGTCTAAAGAAGCACCTCTCCAGGTTCCACAATAGGGAATGAGGTGTCCCAAGCAGTACTTAACCACTGCATCAAATGCCCGACCCTAAGAATATTTTTTATTTTTATTTTACTTATTTATTTATTTATTTATTTATTTATTTATTTATTTTTTCTGACAGGCAGAGTGGACAGTGAGAGAGACAGAGAGAAAGGTCTTCCTTTGCCGTTGATTCATCCTCCAATGGCCGCCGCGGCCGGCGCACCGCGCTGATCCGATGGCAGGAGCCAGGTGCTTCTCCTGGTCTCCCATGTGGGTGCAGGGCCCAAGCACTTGGGCCATCCTCCACTGCACTCCCTGGCCACAGCAGAAAGCTGGCCTGGAAGAAGGGCAACCGGGACAGAATCCGGCGCCCCGACTGGGACTAGAACCCGGTGTGCCGGCGCCGCAAGGCAGAGGATTAGCCTAGTGAGCCGCGGCGCTGGCCAAGAATATTTTTTAAGAAGACAGGTTCTTCTTCTCCTTCTTTTGAAGATTTATTGATTGATTTGAAAGGCAGAGGTGCCGAGGTGGGAGAGGGAGAGAGAAGGAGAGAGGAAGAGACAGATATTCTATCTGCTGGTTCACTCCACAAAGGGCTGGGCCGGGCTGGAGGCAGGAGTTTCTTCTAGGTTTCCCACAGGGGTGCAGAAGCCCAAGCACTTGAGCCATCTTCCACTGTTTTCCCAGGTGCATTAGCAGGGAGCTGGATCAGAAGTGGAGTAGCCAGGACTCAAACCGGTGCCCATTCGGGATGCCAGCACTGTAGGCAGCAGCTTAAGCTCTGTGCCACAGCACCGGCCCCATGGAGAAAGAGGGATGCTACTGGGGACCACAGCACAGGGTGCTTCAACTGTAACGCCAACACTGAATTATTGAGATGGGTGGCAGGCACAGGCTATCATTTTATCCTTTGTTTTATTTCATAATAGAAGTTTTCTGTGGCTTTACTGGTGGAAGGTCAGCCACCGCTCAGCTTTGGGCAGAATTAATTGCTGGATAAAAATGTGACATTCATTCCTTCAATAAATGCCTACTGCATTAAAAAAAAAAGGCAGCACCTCATTGCAGGAGGAGGGGAGACTGGAGGCTCGGACGGAAAGCCTCTACCTTCCTGGGTGAGTTAGAAGCAGTCAAGTTACCTCCACTGATGGTTAAGTCAGGAGGCAATGCTTCCTCTGATGTTTCAGAGTCGGTCCCTCCAAGAGGCAACGGGTCAGGGCAAAGAGGGCCCCTGTCTCACACTTAGCGAATTCTCATCCCTACTAGCGATGGAGTGTCTGTGCAGGACTGTGCGAATCAGGGAGGGTGGTCCTGGATTGCAGTGAGTGTGGTGAGGAAGGCAGGTGACTGCATGGCCCAGGTGTGTACTGAAACTCCCAGAGGAGGAGGGAAGAACATGGAGGTGCTGTGGGGTGGCTGGGAGCCAAGGAGCTCCTGGGCGCATTTTTTTTCATACTTCTTTAACAGGTTGGACCATGTCTAGCTGTTCCTGGCCTCCATGATTGACTGTTTCTTGAGAGGGGATGGGGCCAAGCCAGGGTTGGTGGGGTGGTGAGAGAGAAAGGAAGCCTTCCTGTGAGCAGTGCATCCCTGAGCCCTGGGAATCCAGAGACAGGAGACTGCATTGACAGGAACCAGTCCAATTCTGATCAGAGGACTGGAGCCTACTCTGCCCCAGGAAGGATGCTAGCAGAACACAAACAGGGGCCTGCAGAAGAAGTTAGAAGCAGCAGAGGGGCCAGCACCACAGCGTAGCGGGTAAAGTGGGTAAAGCCGCTGCCTGCAGTGCCAGTATACCATGGAGGCGTTGGTTCGAGTCCCAGCTGCTCCACTCCCGATCCTGCTCTCTGCTATGGCCTGGGAAAGCAGTAGAGGATGGCCCAAGGCCTCGGACCCTTGCACCTGTGTGGGAGACCCAGAGGAAGCTCCTGGCTCCTGGCTTCAGATCAGTGCAGTTCCGCTTGTTGTGGCCATCTGGGGTGTGAACCAGCGGATGGAAGACCTCTCTCTCTCTCTGCCTCCACCTCTCTGTAACTCTGCCTTTCAAATAAATAAATAAATCTTATTTTAAAAAAAAAAGCAGCAGAGAGGTGAGGTGGAGGACATTGGAGGGAAAAGGTAAGGGCATCTTCAAGGAAAATGAAGTCTGGCGCCGAGAGGGTAGCGGGATGTGTTCAAGGCATCCATGCTGTCTCAGCCTTTGCCTCTTTTCTGCTCCCTATGCTGGATTCTGACTGAATTTTCAGCCAATGCTGAACGCATCCGCTTTTCCTCACCTCTCAGCCTTTGTGTTGTTCCCTCTCCTTGCCATGTCCTTGCTCTCCTTCCTCCCATCTTTTTCTGTCTAAACCCTTTCTGTTCCTCAAGACCCGCATGCTACGTCCTCCAGGGAGCCTTCTTGGGTTCCATTCTCCATTGGGAGCAACCCTCCCCTCTTCTGAACTCCTCCTCTGTCTCTCATCAGTGCAGGCCTTTGGTAATATCTCCATGTAGTAGTAAATGAGTATTGGCGACAGATGAGGTGGGTTTATTAAGAGACCTGCGTTCAGCAACTGGTATCCATTATGAAAAGGATTCCTGACAAAGATAGAAAGACTCCTTTAGAATATTCATTTATTTGAAAGCAGAGTGACAGAGAAAGGGGAGAGAGAGAGAGAGAGAGAGAGAGAGAGAGAGAGAGAGGTCAGTCTTCTATCCACAGGTTCACTTCCCAAATGACTTCAACAGTCAGGGCTGGGCCAGGCCAAAGCCATCCGAGTCTCCCTTGTAGGTGACAGGAACCCAAATACTTGGGCCATTTCTGCTGCTTTCCCAGGCACATCAGCAGGGAGTTGGATTGGAAGCAAAGCAGCTGGAACTCAAGCCAGCACTCCAATATGGGATGTGGGTGTCCCAAGCAGTAGCTTAACCTGTTTCACCTCAACATCCACCCTGATAGAAGGAATTTAAATCCCTTCTCCTGGCTATTGATTCCCTTGGTGATTCACGATTTAGATCTTGAGGACTTCACACACTCCCCCCCAAAAATAAATCACTCCCCCACCAGAATCATAGAATATTATTTATCATCTATCAGAAAGCCCACAGGGATTCTAGTACCGCACTGTCCCATCCAGTAACCATTATCCGTGTGGCAAAAAAAAAAAAAAAAAACAGCTATATGTCAAGTGGTCAGCAGCCACGTGTGGCTAGTGGCCACCATATTGGAGGGTGCAACTAGGGAACATGTTCATCTTCACACACAGTTCCCTAGAGTTGCTTGCTGTAGACCAATCGTTTGCAAAGGAGCAAACAGCCCAGAGAGGGAGTATGACCCCACCAAGCACGTAGTTGGCAGCTGTGGGCGGGGAGCCGAGGAGCCCTACTACTCCCAACAGTCATCGTCCTGCTGCCTCTTTGGGCTCCTCCTAAGTCAGCGCCCTGAGTGGGCCCTGCACCTGGGCCCCGGCGCTGCACGGTCTGTTGGAAAGGATGTTTGCGACTGCCAGAGCTTCGGATGCTGCACATTCCTGATCGGGTCAGGCCTGCCCTGCGGCGGCTCAGGGAATCAGCTCCTCCGAAGAGCCCCAGATCTTTCTGGAGCTGCCTTCTTGCTGCCCAACCCTGGGGGCGCGCGCGTCCAGGAGCCTCTCCCATCGCCCTGAGTGAGGCTTAAGGGCTGTGGCGGTCTCCCTGCGGGAGAAGTACTTCCAGTGAAGGAGGGGTTGCAGCCCGGCGGGAAATCGCACCCCTTGCGTCTTTCAAGGTCTCCAAGTCCAGCACCAGGGCCATCTGGAAACAGGGTTCCTGCCAGCCCCACCTGGGGGCCGCATTTGGCGGGAACTGCATCAGCCTTCACCTGCAGACCAGTCGGGGGCGTGACGGACCAAGCCGGGAGAGGGGGCGTCCCGGGGTGGGGGTGGGGTGACGAGAGGCCAGGGGAGGGGGCGCCGCGAGCGCCCTGACCTCGCCGGCTGTTGGGAGGCGGAGGGGGTGGGGGTTGGGGGAGAAGAGGGGAGCCAATGGGAGGGAGGATCTCGTTTCAAAAGGGTTAACCCGCAGCCAATGGGAGCCTGGGGGAGCGGATCCTGCTCACTCCATTCAAGAATCCCAAGTATTCAAGATGGACGGCAGGGAGTGTGGAAGGAGAAAGGGGGCGAGGGGGGAAAAGCCAGATCTGCAGAGGAGAGGGGCGCAGCGGCCGGCCGGCCCCGGAGCCCCGGCCCCAGCCGGCGGGTGGAGGGGCGGCCGCAGGGAATCGGAGCCCGGCGGGGGAGAGGGGCTGGCGGGGTGCGAGAGGGCGTGAGCGAGGGGGAGCCAGGCCAGGAGGGGAGCCAAGGGGGAGGGCAGGGCAGAGAAAGAGCCCGGGAAGAAGGAGGTGGCAGGCAGAGGAACGTAACGAAGAGCAAGGTGTGGGTACCGTGAGCTCCCAGAAGGGTAACGCCGCCGGTTTTCGGTTTTCTTCTCTCTGGGCGAGGGGCGGGCGGTGGTCTGGGCTCTTTCTCTCGTCTGCTTCTCCCCCTCCTCACCCTCCACTCTGGGCATCTCTGCTCTTTTTCCTTTCCCGACAGTGGATGTGGGAAGCACCGGGCATGTCTCTCCGAGGTGGCCTCACTGTCATTTTCCAGTGGGGGGCGTGGTGGGGAAGAGGTTGGGGTGTGTGTGTGTGTTGGGGGGGTCTCCGTGGGGCCCGGCCGAGGCCGAGCCATCTGTCGGTGCCTGAGCTCGGGGGTTGAGGGAGTGGGACTCTGGGGACTTGGTGGGTGTGTGCCGAGGGGTCGCGGGCGCCGAGGGTGTTGGCGCGGGGCAGAGAGTTGTGCGCCTCCAGAACTTGTGGGGGTGAGCCCAGGGCTGCGCGCGGCGGCGAGGGGGGTGAGGCCCTTGAGCTACTAGTTGTGGGGCGTTGAGGGGCGCTGGGGCGCGGGCGGCTGCACCCTCGCTCCCGCTCTCGTAGTGAAGGCGGAGTATGCCGCGAGTACGGCTGAGTTTGTGTGTGTGTGTGTGTGTGTGTGTGTGTGTGTGTGTGGTCCAGCCCCGAGGTGTGCGTTGGGCACAGTTGGGTGTTGAGGGAGAGCGCCCCTCGCCCCCCCACTTCCCAGCTGGCCCTCTCATCCCATTCACAGAACATGGCTTTCAGGACCCTCCTGGTCTCCTCCTCCCGTCGCCATGGCTGCGGGGAGGGGGTGGGAGGAGACAGTTGGGGCCAGCCCCCTGCCCCTGCTGCTCCAGCTAACCCCCCACCTGCCCTTTCTCTCCCTTCCTCAGGCTGGGCCCCAGCCCCTGCTGCTCTGGGGGGCAGGGGCCGGAAGATGGTGGCCAATGAGGAGGGGGAGTGGAGAGAACTTGAGCCGGGGCCTCCCCTCCCCCATTTCCTCCTCTGTCTCTACACCCGCTTCTGGAAGGAGCTGGGGATGGCTCTTGGGCCCATGGTGGGGGAGGGGTCCTGCTGGCTGGTGAATGGCGGGGCCAGCTCTCAGGAATGAGTGGGGTGTGCGAGAGCTGAGGGGCTCGCTATCCCAGCCCCCTCTCTCTTCCCTTCCCAAGGAGAGCGCTGGGAGCTCCTTGGGGGTAGAATTTGCCCCTCGCCTCCCTGAACCTTGCTGGGCAGCCTTGCTTTGGCCTCTCTGCCCTGCTGTGGGCAGACCCAGTTCCCAGCTGGTTTGCCCGACCCCTGGAGAAGAGGCCTGGGACTGACCCTAGCAGGGCCCGGGTTTCTTTCCACTGGAACTGTGCAAACTGTGGGGCAGGGCTGGTGTCTGCAGATTACAGGAACAAAGTGCCTGGGAAGGCGGGAGAGAGACTCTGCTGCTTCCTGGGGGGTGGGGGGAGGCTGGAGGGGAAGCTGGGATGAAGAGCTCCCTACTGGAATTCTGTGTGTTCCTTCTGCTGGCTGGGGAGTGGGGAGTGGGGCACCTCCCTGGCACCTGGGAGGCCTTGGCTGGTGAGACACCAGGTGAATCCCCCAGCCTGTGCCCCTCTGGGCTGCACCCCGTCCCTTCATCAAGTCACAACTGTAGCTGAGCTAGGCCACGGCTTCGAGCTTCAACCCGCGGGTAGCCGGTGTTTTTACAGAGCAGTCTTCTGGCTTCCACTTTTAATCAGTGGCCATGGCTTGTCCTAGGTTTGAGTCCCTTGGGCCAGGATGGCACGGGGGAAACAGGAGGTTGAAGGCTCCTTAACTGGATTGCCTGGGCAGGGCAGGAAACAACTCAGGTTGGAATCCCACTGCCATTGAAAGCTTCGTCCCTAACCCAGTGTGAGATAGGGCTCGCTCTGATCTTTTTGCTTAATGCTGAATCCATCAAGTGCTTTGAATGCCTCCCAAAAGGAGATGAAAGGGTGGGGTTTTCACCAGCACCTTTCTCGCCTCCGGGCCTGAAACTTCTCTCTCAGAGCTGCCTGGGGACCTGTGGCTTCAGCTCCCTCACGCTGGTCCTGGAGGGTTCCTCTGAGATTGTCACCTTGAGACCGGCCACTCCCCTCTACTTAGTCTAAAGAGGCGAGAGAGCTTTGGAGATGAGGAGAAAGGGCCGTGTGGTCATGGCTGCCAAGTGCCTTCCTGTCGGCCAGCGAAGCTGACAGAAACACAGATTCCGGGTGAACGGCCTCATGTGCGTGTTCCCCAGGCTTGTGGGGTTCTACCAGTCCCTTTGAGAACTGAGTGCCAAGCTCCAGGTATCCCTTTTACTGCCTCCTGCTACCCTGAAAGGTCAAAGAAAAAGGTGTTTTCTATGCTAGGAAGGAGGTGAGGAAGACAGTGAGAGGAGGAGGAGAGACTGAAAGATTACTGCAGAGAGAGGAAAGCTGTACCCAAGATAAGAAAGGGCAGGGGGAGGCTTTGAGCTGAGTGGGCCGGGGGCTGGGAGAAGGGGTGAGGTCGCGCAGCTGGCATGCCTCTGCTGCTGGCCAGAGCTCTTTTCACATTGTGCTACTGTCTGCGCCTATCACGAGCAGTGCAATGTCAAAAGGGCATTGGCCATGTAGTGCTACCCCGCGCCGGCTGCCTCCTCAGCGTCGTAATGTCCTCTCCCAGCTGGGCACCAGTCAGCTCCTGTAGTGGGAACGAGCCCCCGTGTAGGTGCGTACATGCAGTGCACATGTTAAACACTGCGTCCATGATTGTGACCCCTAAGATCACTTCGCAGGTAGCATCCCCCGTTTACAAAGGAACAACAACAACAAAAGAGCCAGAAAGGTTTAAGCAGTTTGTCCAAAGTTAAATATAACCCTGCCCTATGCCGGACAAATCACCCAGAGGCATACCTCTGGAAACCGAGGTCTGAGTTAGGTTGTCGCTACCTGGGGATTTTTCTGAGCTGAGGGGTGGAAGGTTTGGGTGCCACCTGCTGGTTGTATGAAGTATCTGCCAGAGTCTCAAGCCTTGAAGGGTAAAGGTGGTGGCGGTTCCATGGCTTAAGAAGGAGAGAGGTTCCTAGACTCATCCTGGGAAGGAGAGAGGGTGGAGAAGATGGGAGGAATCCATGTGAGGCCCAGAGTAGACCTCTGAGGATAAAGGGATGAACAGGAAAGAAGTTGCTGCCCCGGGGAAATGAAGCTGTGTGCCCCTGGCACCCATGGTTGTCAGCTCCTTCTCTGGCCTTTGGGGGATGGAAAGGAGACTTCATCCCTCCCTCACCCCCACCTGTAATGCCCAGCATGACTCCCCTTCGTTACAGGCTGCTTGATAATGGAGCATCTTGAGGGTGTGCGTTAAGATGCAGGCGGCACTGTCTGCAACCAGCTCTTGGGGACTACATAAGATTCCTTGAGGCCGGCGCCGCGGCTCACTAGGCTAATCCTCCGCCTAGCGGCGCCGGCACACCGGGTTCTAGTCCCGGTCGGGGCGCCGGATTCTGTCCCGGTTGCCCCTCTTCCAGGCCAGCTCTCTGCTGTGGCCAGGGAGTGCAGTGGAGGATGGCCCAGGTGCTTGGGCCCTGCACCCCATGGGAGACCAGGAAAAGCACCTGGCTCCTGGCTCCTGCCATCGGATCAGCGCGGTGCGCCGGCCGCAGCGCGCCAGCCGCGGCGGCCATTGGAGAGTAAACCAACGGCAAAGGAAGACCTTTCTCTCTGTCTCTCTCTCTCACTGTCCACTCTGCCTGTCCGACTGACAACAAAAAGAAAATAGAAGGTTTCCTTGAGCCAAGCTCCCCGAATTCTTTCAGCAGTGACTGAAGAATTTGAGAGCAGCAACTGTGCCATTTACTTCTCTGTCTCTCACAGCGCCTAGCTAGCCTAATAAGAACTTGTTACAGGAGATGGAGACAGAGGCATATTCGGGGAACTTCTTTAGGAAGGCAAACTAGTTTGTGCCTGAGAAGCCTTCATGCACTTCAGTGCAAACGGTGGGACTGGCAGGGTGTGTGAGTCCCCTGCTGGATCCCAGGAAGCACCACTCAGCCTGTAGGGGCTGCAGAGTGGGACAGCACCCCTGCCTGGAAACGCTGGACTTCATTCCTCCATGGCTTCCATTTGCTCTTCCTTGCCCTTCCCTCACCTCTGTGCCTTCCGGTTTTCTTCCTCCTGCCTCTCCATTCGGAGTTTGATACCAGGGTTTGAGATGGTACAGCTAGCGTTATGTCCCACGTCCCTTACTTTCTTTGATCTACGAAAACGTTTATTTCAGCCTCCTGTCTGGGCACAAAACAGCCAGTTGGGGGTGCCATTCCACTCTCGTTCCAAACAAGAATCTTGCTGTTTCCCCAGCGTCCACAGGGTGAAACCCAGATTCTCTAACTGGTTCATGGCTCTTGCTTCTTTCATCTCTGATCTCTTACACCTGCACCCATACTTTTAAGGAAGCAGGAGTGTTTCCTTAAATTGAGCTGGAGCCCCTGGACATCTCCCCACACTTGCCCTTGACCCAACAGCTTTTCATCCTTCAAGTGCCACTGTGGTTCCCTGAAGCCTTTCTTGATGCCTCAAGTCTAGACAGAGTCCTCCCCTGCAAGCTCCCAAGCGTCCTCTACAAATTCCTGTCTACCACAGTCTACTGAGATTGCCTCCTACATGAAGTCAGGCCATGGCTATCAAGCTCACCATTCGTCCCGTTTTTCACACAATGCTTGAAAGTAAGAGGTGCTTATAGATACTTAGTATCAATGAATGAATCTGCAAATAGCGATACAACTTACAAAAAGGTTTTTATGACATGTACAATCTCCCTGGTAGGCACTGGGCACCCAACAACAGTAGAAATTTAAGATCACTATCCTCCCCCCCACCCCAATGCCCCTTGGGTCACAAGGTTTTATTGATGCTGTGATTTTGAGCCATTCCATTCCACACCTGTCAACTGCCAAGGCAGCATCTTGGCCGGTTGCTCTTTTAGCCCCTAAGTGTGCCCATGAGCTGACCAGAACATTACAGAACCAGGCAGAAAAGCACTAGGACCCAAGAAAACCCTTGTTCTGGAATGAACCTCTTGTAGCTGCCCCATCTTGGATTCCAGCAAAAATAGGTTTATTGGCAGGTGTCCCAGAAGACCCGAGCTGCTTTGGGTGCTGCAGCCAGACTACAGCTCACAAGAACCCATCCTTAATGAAGCAAAACCTCTTCTGAATACTCATGGAAGCCAGAGGCGGGGAGTGTCTTGCCACAGACAAAGCAACTGCTGCCCCCTAGCGGCGTACAAGAACAAGCCCGGGGTGGAGGGAGGAGAGGGCAGGGACACTAAGCCAAGAGGAAGGAAAGTCAGAGGACAGAGTGCCTCAAAGTTGCTTTTCCCCTTTTTATTAAAAATAGACCCAAACACTTTATATATCATACAAAAGTTTCATTCGCTGGTGGCAGCCACGGGAAAGCCTGGCCCCGTAGCCCTGATTTTCCACCTGTCCTCCAGGGGGCTGGGTCCCAGGGAGCAGTGGCTGGGCCCGGGAGGGTGCCCATGAAGACTGCTTGCTCTGGGAACACCCAGCTGGGGGTGGGGCTGTTCCAGGGGCAGCTTTCCCCACCCCACCCAATGGCAAAGGTTAGATACTCAAAAGTGCCTCGTAAGTGCGAAGATAAACAAGTGGAGTGAAATGGAAACCCCGTCATTCTTTTATTTCCTCCCAGGGCCTGAGATTGGGCTATTTCCCTCTCACCCCCCGGGGTCCTTTTCTCCCATAAACGAGGGTGGGAAACTTCACCCTCAGAGATTCTTAGCTCAAAATTTCACTCCAACCCCATCCTGTTCTCATAGGCTGTCCCGTGGCCTGGGACCTGCCAGCCTAGTGACCCAGGGTTCCTCTGCTCTCTTGAGGGGGGCTGACACCTGACCACTCCTGGGGCCCTCTGCCTGAGCTCAAGTCCACCCCCGCCATCTCAGCTGACCGGACACTGGACTAGAGGGACCCGCACCCATCCCTTTGCCCTGGCTGCTGCCCACTCCTGAGCCTTGAACACCCCTGGGGCACCCCCAGACCCCAGTTCCAGAAGGGGCCTGGTGGTGAAGTGGTGGAGGCAGGGGAGGCGTTGGTTGGAGCCGGGTTCCCCCAGGGGTGGGGCAGTACTCATGCTGGTATGGACTGCTTGGCAGGGCCAGGGGGCAGGTGTGGAGAGGGTGGGGCATGCGGAGGAAGCGCAGAGCCTGCCTGAGCCCCTCAGTCCCAGCCGTTGTCTTTCACCATGTGTGACATTTCAATGATGTACTTCCCTTCCTTGTACTTCTGGCTTGTCTCAAAAGCTTGTTCCTGGCGGAGGGGGCAGCAGTGACCATCCAGGCCCCACCCCCCTCCCCCCTCCCTCTAGAGCAGCGCCTGGAGCTTTGGGCCATGCAAAGCCCCTGCATGAGGTCACTAGGGCTTGGAGGGCCATGAGGGTGGTCCCAAGTACTTACATATTTCCAACCCAGTGTGGTTTTGCAGCTCTCGCAGAAGATGTCGGCTACCGAGTGGAGCCCCGTGAGCAGGAGGCGCTGTTCGGCTGGCCCACACCCCACGTTGACCCTGTCTCAGGAAACAGGAAGGACCCAGCCCCCAGTGGGGTCGCTCTGTCAGCCCAGCCCCCAAGCAGCCCAGGGGAACTAACTGCCTTGGGCAACCCACCAGTTTTCGCCTCTCCAATGCTGTGCTTTCCATTCTACCCCGGGCTCCCCACCGAGAACTACCAACTGATTTCCCAAACCCCTTAACAGAAACAGAGGCACAGACTAAAGGTGCAAGATCGTTTCCTGCTGGCTTTCCCCACAGAGGAAACTAGTCCCGCGCGTGCACACACACACACACAAGGAAAGAGATGGACTCACACGGAGTTAAACAGGTAGGCTCGGCCGTGGCTCCCTTGGAAGGACTGTGGAGACACAGGATAGATGGTGACTACCAGGGACCCCCTGGGCCCCACTACATGACCCCGCAGGCTCGGGGGATAGGCAGGGTGAGGAAGGGCTTTGCTGCCACACCCCTACCCCTGGGTGAAGTCTGGGCAAACTTGACCTGAGAGGGACCCCCACTTAGCCTACCTTGGAAATAAGCTCATCGTGTTTGGCCAGGTGTGCACGGCAGTGGACACAGCTGTAAGTACGGTGGCAGCGGGGCAGGTAGCTGCGGAAGGTTTTGGTGGGGAGGCAGGCAGGGGCTGGGCCAGGGTCACAGCTGGGCATGACGGGCTGCAGGACGATGCCCTGGCGGGCTGGAGGGGCTGGCGCCGTGCAGCCCCCACACAGACGGTCGCAGGTGAAGCAGCGGAGCAGGTTGGCTAGAGCCGTGTTTCAGGGCAGGAGAAATGTGGGGGGGCTGCCCGGCCAGGGCCCCCCCAGACGAGAACCAGGTAGAAATGGAGGTCACCTGGGAAGAGGGGAGGGAGCATCAGGGGAGCCCTTCCTGAGGGAATGCAGGAGATGGAGCTCAGCTCACCTGCACCCCTCCCTCCCCCGGCCCCTGGAGTCCCAGCTGCTCTGGCAAGCCCGGCAGCGGTTCCAGGCTTCTGGCGCCATAACCAGGGAGTCGGTGCCTCTCCCTTGTGGGGTGGCAGCAGCCTCTCCCATTTCCCACTGAGAGCAGCTGCTGGCACACACGCTACCATGGAGGCAGTCTGCAGGCGCCCTCTCCTCGCTGGTGGCTTGGCCCCTGAACACCTGCGTCTTGCAGGCATGGGGAGGCACCTGGGTTCAGGACCCTTTAGAAGTTGGGGTGGCCCGGTGGTGGTTCCTTTTTGTGGCCTCCAACTGCAGTGCAACTGGTCCTTTACACATTTGGTATGGGAGGGAGGAGCAAGCAGGTGCACACACCCTGCCTCAGCCCTCTGCTGGGGCCGGCTCCTTCCTGCACTCTGCGACTCAGTAAAACTTAACGAGTGGCTCCTTTGGAGCCAAAGACCTCACACACATAGTTCTTCTCCCCATCCCGGGCCTTGGATCACTCATTTCGGTTCAGAAGAAGCACCTGGCTGTCTTCCCAGCCCTGGGAGCGAGGACAGCTTTCCTTTAGGCGAATCTGACCGCTGGACCAATGGGAAAGCAGTAACACGTCAGGGAAGCCGGGCTCCCAGTTTGGGCAGGGCTGTGTAACACAATGTGAGAGCAACATCCACGATGAGCTGCGGAACAGGGGGACGCTCATATTTTTTCAAAGCTGTGCTTTTTGGGGGGCACAAGGCAGAAAGTGTGTCTACCTTCTCCCAGGGCGGGGTCAAACAGCGATGACTCTGTGGGTGACTGAAGACGAAGTACTTGCTGGGTTCTGGTGAGGACTGCTGGCGCCTTAACGTAGCTGAGGGTGCTGGAAGCAGAGGATAAGGAGGGAGGTGTCTCAGCTGGCTCTGATAAGCAGGTGAGGAGCTGCCTTCTCCTCCATGGGGCCTTCGGGCTCAGCCCAAGTCTGGTTCTGAGATGCCAGCTGGGGTGCTCTGGCAAGGCTAGACCACCAAGCACAGGAGGCAGCATGGGCACAATTACCAAGGCAAACAGGCTCTCCCCATCCCATCCTCTGCAGTGGCCACGGTGCCCCTGTTACTCCAGTCTCTCCGAGGGCCACCAGGCAGTCTCTCCACAAAACCCCTGTCCGAAAGCATCTTCTCATCTCAGGTCCGCTCCCCCTGGCTGGGCCCCAGGAAGACACCTTGGGCAGAGTTCAGGGTGACATTGGGCCCTGGCTGCAGGAAACGGGCCTTCCTTGCTGGGAGGCTACTGTTCAGCGTCCACTTCCCAGGCTGGCCTTCCACTTCGCCAGTGAGCTCCCCACCAACACACACCACCTTGAGATGCCTTCTTGGGGGGGGGGGGGGGGGGGGGGCAACTCAGGTCCCAGCACTAGGGCTCTTTCCCCAGCCTCCACCTGTCATGCCTCCCTCCCTCTCCCCTTGCATAGCCCAGGAGAGGCTGCACGGAAGACCAGAGAATCACGGAAAGGGGAGTAGGGGTCATTTCCTTCCTAGTCTCTGATCACAGGGAGAAGCCAGTTGGGCAAATGACTGGGGGAAAAACAAAGGCAGGCGAGCGCTGGGGAGTGGATGCTCCCCGAAGCGAGCCAGGCTGGACTGTGGGGTGGGTGGCAGGGAAGGGGGTGGGGAGGACTGACAGCTGACAACAGATGCGCCGAGGCGGAGGCTGGAGGAACCAGGTGCGAGTCCCGTGCCTCCTGGCGGGGTGGGGGCGGGGGGGACACCTGCTCACAATGGATGTTCTCGGCTGCGCTTAGGTTTCAGACTCCCCTAGGCTGGCGTTCCGCGGTATGGTATGGTCCGAGGAATGAGCAGCGCAACCAGCTCCCAGGGTAGGCTTTGGGGGGGTCTGCGCGAGCAGCAAAACAATAAACAGTGAGTCTGCAGCCAAAGTTGCCGGGAAATAAGTGCGGGAATCATCGGAGCTTGGAGAGGGATGGAGAAGCAGAGAAACAGAGGGAGCGGGGAGGGGGAAGGGAGGACAAAGGGTGGATGAATAATGCTTTTGCAAAGGGGAGAAAGCAACACGCCGCGGGAGGAGGAGATTTGCAAAGGGGAAGAAAATTCATTTGGAGAAGGGCTGCCCCCTCACCTTGAGGTCTGCTCCAGAGATCTCCGTCTATCTCTCTCTCTCAATCTCTCTCAATCTCTCTGCTCACTCTTCTCTCTTCTCTTTCCGCTCCTTCAATTGGGAAGGGGATGGGGCGGGGGAGGGTAGTTGGGGGCTCAAGACGGGGTGGGCTGCAAAGCTGGCCAGCTGCCGGGGGGCCAGAGGTTGTCTCTCGTTCTGTCCCTCGGTCTGTGGGTGAATGTGGCTGTGTGTTGTGGAACTGCATCATAACACTGTGAGTCATCCGTCCCCCACCCCCCTCACCTCCCACGTCAGAGCAGGGCTGGGAGACACAGGAGGCGGGTCGGGAGGAAGGGAGGGGGCTGGCATCAGGGGACGGGGCTGTGGGAGTGATGCAGGGGAGTGGGGGCAGAAGGATGAGTGAGCAGGGGTCTGTAGAGGGAGGGGTGTTGGTGCTGGTGGTGGGCGAGAGGTTGTTACGGAGGAAGGCAGTGTGGACAAGGAGACGGAACCTGGGAGAAGGACAGGGCTGGGCACGGAGGAGTAAGGGTGGCAGGACTGGAGGAAAGGAGGTGGCGAGGCTGGCGAAGCGAGAAATGGATGCAGAGAGCCAGGCGCGCGCACACACGTTCAAGATGATACATCTTCCCCTTTCAGCTCCGATCCCAGCCCTGACACGGGGAAAAGAAGGATGTGCTTGCTAATTGTTATGGATGGCAAACTGTGCCCCCAGACAAGTACTCTGCCAGGCACTTCCAACCCTCTGTTTAATAGCCTCACAGGAGTCTGAGACCAGATAAGACATCTCACGCGCAGGGACCTCCCATCAGCCCCCCAAATTGCTTGTGCTTCACAATGGAGACACCTACATTATGTAAGGTTCTCTGCTGGGCTGTAAAGTTTCTGAGGCCAGTCCTCTGGGAAACTTCCCTGCATCCCAGGACTGCAGTGCCTAGCGCAGAGCCTTGTGCACAGAAGACGTTCACGGAACGGCAGTTGGGTTGCATCTGCAGCCATGTTCCGAGTGTCTGGCTTTGGCCTCAAGGAGTCGGAACCTCAGCTGTGCCCATTACTCCGAGACAAGTTGCCGATCCTCCCTGGGCTTCAATTCTTCTCTTCTTCTACTTGAAGCTAATAATAATAAACTTTAAGCAGACACGCAATAACTGAGATAACATGTAAATGCCATGAAGTGCCTGGCCTGTGATAGACCCTTAGTAAACAGGTAGTGTTATTTCAAGATAGCATTTTCAGGGGCTGGTGTTGTGGTGTAGTGTGTTAAGTCACCGCCTGCAGTGCCGGCATCCCATATGGGCACTGGTTCAAGTCCCAGCTGCTCCACTTCCAATCCCGTTTCCTGTTGATGTACCTGGGAAAGCAGTGGAAGACGGCCCAAATGCTTAGGCTCCTGCCATCCACATGGGAGACCCTGGCTCCTGGCTTCAGTTTGGCCCAGCCTTGGCTGTTACAGGCATTTGGAGAGTGAACCAGCAGGTGGAAGATGAATTTCTCATTCTCACTCTGTCTCTCTGTAACTCTGCCTTTCAAATAAATAAATTCTTAAAAAAAGATAGCATTTCCAACTTTTATCCCTAAGCACTATTAAATTCTGGTATTTTCATGAATCTTGTATCAAACTGTGTCTTATGAAGAAATCACATCTTTTGTTGCTGTATTTCTATAAGCCTCCAGGTAAATTTCATTTGACTCAGATTTTTTTCTCACCGAGTGGTATCCTATGCGAAGTATGTGGACACAGACAAAAGCGCCCATTTTTAACAGAGGCTGACGTTCAGCAAGGAAAGTATTACAAAAATAAAGGATTCTAGAAAGTGCCACAGGTGATCTGTTTTTCTTTTCACATGCATGGAGGGAAAAAAGTTAAGGTAGGGAACTGTGGTGTTGGGAGGCACTGCCAGCCACAAAGGGGGGAAAAAAGGAATGCTGACTATTTAATCAGGGAAGATTCAATTAAAATAAATTGTGAAAACACAATGTGAGTATCTTGTCTTTAGGGACAGTACCAGCGGTTTGGAATTGGGAGGGGGAGCCGGGTAAAGACAGAAGAGAGAAGGGTTCTGGGCAGCAGATGAGAAAGCAAACATAACTGGAGGGGGAAATCCGGGAGCCATTTGGAGAAAAAACATGGAAAGTGGGGAAAAGGAAGATGACCAGTTTTTAGGGCAGGGATTGAAAGACTAGAAGCAAGGAGGATACCAATGAATTCATATCAGTTTAGAAAGAAAATGACCAAGCATTTAGCTGGAGAGGGGAATGAGAAAGACATCTGAGGACAGTGTTATTTGGGCGTGGGGTGGAGGTGGCAGGAGTGCTTGGTGAGAGACTGAAAGTGAGAGAGTGTGGGCAAGCCCAGATGCCTTAAATACTGTGCCCTTTTTCTGTGTTTAAGAAGCAAAATGGCGAGCAGGCTAAAAGGCAGGGTGGTGTTCTCCCTAAATTCAGCTCGAGATGGTTATACAATGCTCAAATAAAGATGACCTTCAGGTAACTGGTAGGAATGGTCTCGAGGGAGAGATCTGGAAGCAAAGAAATAGATGGGGGAGACAGAGTACAAGGAAATGGAAAAGGGTAAACTCACTCAGGCAGAACATCTGCACATGGAAGGCTGGAACCGAATTTTTGAAGAACGGTGTGAGATTAGGGGATGCCCAAGTGTTAACTGGAGAACTAATGCAGAGTGAATGAAATCATTAAAGTAAGCCATCAAAAAAAATAAAAAAGAATTAAGGGGAGCACTGCTTGGAAAGTGAGCACTAAGCAGGGCCAGCAGGAAATCCTCACAGCTCCTCCATCTGGATTAACTGTGTGAGCTGGACCGAAAGAAAGGTGAGGTTGACAATTACATTGCCTCCTGCACAGGACTCTTGCCAGGATTAAATGAATTTACACCTGTAGAGCCCATGGAACAGTACCTGGCTTCTAACACCATCCAACTGTTAGCTATTAGTGTAATAACTGGACTAAGACTCTGAAAGTCTGGGTTTCAGCCCTAGCTCTAATTACTATGTATGCTTGAGCAAGTTTTTTCACTTAAGTCTCTCCCCTCTGAAACTGGAGATAATAAAGCTGACTCTACAGGCTGGTTGTGAAAGGAGATGGCCAAACAGGCTTTGAAAACATGTAAAGTACTGTCCAAATGGATGGCATTATTATTATAGCATTACAACCCTCCCCTCAGCCTATTATAAAATTGTAAAAGCTAACAGAAGATTGTTACAGGCGTATTTGACATGCATCATCCCCTCCAATCTTCAAAATAGTGTTGAGAGGTTGGGTTCAGTCATTATCCCCATCTTAAAGACTGGAAACGTGTCAGGGAGACGAAGCCCAGGATCTGCCTGGGGTCACACGCTAAGTAAATGGCACAGAAAATAATGCAAGATTCCAAAGCCCCAGCTCAGGAGAACAGGGCTCTCTCTCTAGGGTCGTGGCCGGATGTGTTGGCTGCGGGTGGATGCCTGGCCTTATGTAACTGTCAGGGATTTAGGGAGTTAAACAGAGTCCCCAGCAAAACTCCCCGCTGGGTGGGAGGGAGGTTGCTGGGTAAGGACTAACCGACAAGGTAACTGGAAGAAATGATTGGACGCCTGTTCTTTAAGGAGAGAAACATTTCCTGAATGCCTTCTGCGTGCCCAGCGCGGTGTGAGCTGGAAGACAGCTCACTTGCAGCCGGACAGCCTGCCTTCCTCCTGCACACGCCGGGTTTTGCCCGTGTCCCGAATTCCAGGCTCGTCGTCCAAACAAGCAGTTGATCTCGAGACTCAGCTCAAGAGTCCCGCTCCCTCCCCGGCCTCCATTCCCCTTCCCGGGACTCAGGGGAGCAGTAACGCAACGGCTACGCCCCCGCAACAAACACGTTCCGACCCCACGCGCCCACACGCGGGGGAGTAACCGGCACGCCCCCTGCCCTCCTCCCTCCGGCGAGGCGCACACGGACGGACACAGCCCCGCCCACATTTAGCGTCACGATCAAAACAAAACTTTAACTACAACTCCCAGAAGGCTGAGCGGCCTCTCCAGCACAACTACACATCCCAAGGGGCGTCGCGCGGCCGCGTCATCACCCACTGCGCAAGTACGGAAGCGCGCGTGTTTCCCGAGTGGTCTGGGAGAACGCGGCTTGGCGCTCGGTTTGGGTCGCACCCCGAAGGGCTGCTGAGTTTACCGTTTTTTGCTCGTGGCCGTGCAGGTGAGTTTAATAAATTCAGGAACTCAACTGTCACTTCCTTGAGGCTTGGGTAGATTTCGGTGTCTGCGGAGGATTAGACAGACGCGGGACCTAGAACCGCGGTCCCGTATCGAAAATAATTGTTAACGTTTTCTAGTTTACGAAGTGGTTTTTTTTTTTTTTTTTAAACGTCTCATAATCCTGCTAATTCTTAAGCACGACACTGAGGAAGCGTGCCGCCAGTTGGCAGCTGAGGGAAGAGTTCAGCCTCTCCAAGAGTTTGCAGAGTGGATCTTGGCTGTTCTCTAAGCCTGCACGTGGTGTACCCTCTGCTTTGTGTCCGGAGCGCGGACGCCCTTTCTGGTGGGCTGAGAGGGTGGAGGAGCGGGCGTCTGTAGCCTTCTCGTCAGTAGAGTGATGAAGGCGGTCGGGGCTTTTGCCAATCTGTAGGTATGTTTTCTTCTTACGTCCAAGTCATTCATTCAGTGTATTTATCGAGGTGCCTGCAGTTTGTCAAACCATGCTCCAGGTACTAACATAGCAAAGGATAATGCTCAACCATTTCATTCGACTGGGGGAGACAGGTGCTAAGAAATATGGAGAAAAGTAAAGCAAGGTAAGGGAAAAGGTCCCTTGGAAGATTTTGCAAAGGGACCCGGCTTATGATCAGATCTGATACTAAATTTGTGTTCTAGGCACAGCTACTCAGAAAGGATGGGAGAGGAGACCAATGATGACAAGAAGCCGACGACGAAATTCGAACTCGAGCGAGAAACAGAGCTCCGCTTTGAGGTGGAAGCGTCTCAGTCGGTTCAGCTGGAGCTGTTGACCGGCATGGCAGAGATCTTTGGCACGGAGCTGACCCGGAACAAGAAATTCACCTTCGACGCTGGTGCCAAGGTGGCCGTTTTCACTTGGCATGGGTGTTCTCTGCAGCTGAGCGGCCGCACGGAGGTGGCCTACGTCTCCAAGGACACCCCCATGTTGCTTTACCTCAACACTCACACAGCCCTGGAGCAGATGCGGAGGCAAGCGGAGAAGGAAGAAGAGCGAGGTCCCCGAGTGATGGTCGTGGGCCCCACCGACGTGGGCAAGTCCACGGTGTGCCGCCTGCTGCTCAACTACGCCGTGCGTTTGGGCCGCCGTCCCACTTACGTGGAGCTGGATGTGGGCCAGGGATCTGTGTCCATCCCCGGCACTATGGGGGCGCTCTACATTGAGCGGCCAGCGGATGTGGAAGAGGGTTTCTCTATCCAGGCCCCTCTGGTCTATCATTTTGGCTCCACCACGCCTGGCACCAACATCAAGCTGTATAATAAGGTGAGAGCCACCGCGGGATGGAGGGAACAGTACCATCAGGGTAGGCAGCTGTGGGGAGGTTTGTTGGTTAAAACTGTGTAGTTTGCACTTTTCCTCTAGGGTGAATTGACTGCCACGTGGTTCAGAAAAGACAGTTTCACATGTAAACCTCATATGATTAATCATTTCTGGGCACTTTTAAAAATTATTTTATTTATTTGAAAGGTAGAATTAGGGAGAGACAGAGAAAGTGAAGTCTTCGTCTGCTGGCTCACTCCCCAGATGGCCACCACAGTTGGGCCTGGGCCAAGCCAAAGCCAGGAGCTAGGAGCTTATTCTGGGCCTCCCACGTGAGCGCAGGGGCCCAGGGACTTGGCTGATTCTCCACTACTTTCCCAGGCTTACTGGCAGGAAGTTGGATTGGAAGTAGAGCTGCAAGGACTTTAACCAGTGCCCATATGGGATGCCTGCACTGCAGCCGGTGACTTAACCCACCATGCCACAGCACTGGCTCCTGATTTAGGATTTAAATTCTTAGTAATTTAAAAGCTAAATTCATGTTAGGGGGTCAGAATTGCAGCCACTAAAAATGTCATTTTTCTTATACTTGATACTGCTTATTTTTGTTAAAAAGCATTTTTTAAAGGTCTATGTTTTTGAAAGCAGAGTGATACAGAAAGAGCTCTTCCTTCCACTGGTTCATCCCCCAAATGGTTGCAATGTCTGGGGCTGGGCCAGGCCAAAGCCAGGGGCCAGGAACTCCGTCAGGGTCTCCCACGTAGGTGGAAAGGAACCAGGTACTTGGGCCGTCTTCTGCCTTCCTGGCTGCATCAGCAGGGAAACAAGCTGGTGCTTCGCTATGGAATGCTGGTGTTGGCAAGCTGCCACAATGCCCAGCACCCTTTGCCACTTACTTTAAAAAGACAAAAGAGCGGGGGGGGGGGGGGGGGGTTGCTTGTTTTTTGTTTTGTTCTGACCTGTTGGTTTGTTTTGTAGATTACATCTCGACTAGCAGATGTGTTCAACCAGAGGTGTGAGGTCAACCGAAGAGCATCTGTGAGTGGCTGCGTCATTAACACCTGTGGCTGGGTCAAGGGCTCTGGTTACCAGGCCCTGGTACATGCAGCTTCAGCATTTGAGGTGGATGTAGTCGTGGTGCTGGATCAAGAACGACTGTACAATGAACTGAAACGCGACCTGCCCCACTTTGTACGCACAGTACTGCTCCCGAAATCAGGGGGCGTGGTGGAGCGCTCCAAAGATTTCAGGCGGGAATGCAGGGATGAGCGTATCCGTGAGTACTTCTATGGATTCCGGGGTTGCTTCTATCCCCACGCCTTCAATGTGAAGTTTTCAGATGTGAAAATCTACAAAGTTGGGGCACCCACCATCCCAGATTCCTGTCTGCCTTTGGGCATGTCCCAGGAGGACAATCAGCTCAAGCTAGTGCCCGTCACACCTGGCCGAGATATGGTGCACCACCTCCTGAGTGTGAGCACTGCGGAGGGCACAGAGGAGAACCTTTCCGAGACCAGCGTGGCCGGGTTCATTGTGGTGACCAGTGTGGACCTGGAGCATCAGGTGTTTACTGTCCTTTCTCCAGCTCCCCGCCCACTGCCTAAGAACTTCCTCCTCATCATGGATATCCGGTTCATGGATCTTAAGTAGAGAGCAGGAAGCCTGCTGCCTGGCCGTCATCCCAGGCAGGTGGGCTGAGATAGGACAAGCTCAGCAGACCAGCTCACCAGTAAACTGGACTAGTAGAAAACATCTATCTACCTTTTAAAACAGGTGGCAGTAACTGGACCTTTCTAGTTTTAAGCCACAAGGAACACCATAATTGGTTTCTTAACAGCTAAGATGCCACTTTGAATTCTCTGAGACCCTGGAGAGTTCCATTTCTTTGTGCTACTATGTGGCTTTTTTCGTTTGTTTTTTTTTTTTTACCTCTGCCTTATATTCTGTTTATAACTTGCTGTCTCATTTAGATGACAGTGCGAATTACAGGAACTCCTTCCAATAAAGTTCAAACTTGGAAAAAATTGTTTTAATAAATATTTTTGCCTTGTGTAGAAGTGGTGTACTTCCCACTACCCTTAAGCATTATAGAAACATTGAAATGATTTAGTGCTAACATGCTTAGAGCAAAGGAAAATCTAGAACCTACCTGTGAATCGAGCATGGGAGTTTTCTATAATGGTTCCCATTTCTTAATTGCTGTCGAAGTACTGGGTTTACTGTGGGAAGCTGAAGATGCTGGTGATAAGCTTTATGAGATTGAGCCAAAAATTGAGAGGTCTTTATCTCTTTCTGAAGTTAAAAAAAAAAGCAGGCTTGATGACTTTGGTGAATTAGAAAAACCAAGATGGTTGGAGTGTACTGAACTAAGGGAGAGTGGTAAGACATGAGGCTGGAGGGGCTAGCAGACTATAGATAATACAGGGCTTTTGTAAATCAGGGTGAAGAGTGGCCTTCATTTTAAGAGTAGCGGGAAGCCATGGGGAAGGAGTGGTTATGGAAAGGAAAGACTTGGTCTTTACATCTTACCATTGCCGTATGGAAAGTGGAGTCCAGAGGCGAGCATAGAAGCAAGGGCACGAATTAGGACAGATTAGGATTCTTTTGTGAGGATTGCTGAGAACTGGATGAGGGCACTTGAGGTGAAGCTAATGGGATAATTACGCTTTGGAATATTTGAAGATAAAATGGATAGGACTTGCTGGGGGCTCTGGAGGGATAGACATTTGTCCTAGCTGTTAAGGAAATGCAACTAAGGATGATTCTTAGCCTTTTTTTTTAACTGAGCAACTAGATTGGTTATGAAATTTTGGAAACTAGGGAGGGCACAAGAGAACAGCAGGAGTGTTTTCACCGGGGGCAGCAATGTGCAGCAGGTTTGGAGTTCTGGTTTGAGTCCTGGCTGCTCTGCTTATCCAACTCCCTGTAATGCGCCCAGGAGAGCAGCGGAAATAGCCCAAGTGCTTGGCCCCTGCACCCACATGGGAAACCCAGATGGAATTCTCATCTCCTGGCTTTGGCCTGGTCCAGCCCCCCGCTGTTTTAGGTAGGCAGTTAGTAGATGGAAGATATTTATATCTGACTGTCTGTCACTCTGCCTTTATAATACAAAAACAGACAAAGGTCATGGAGGAATGGAGATAAGTGTGGGGTATATGGTGAGAAAAAAAGTTTTGTTTGTTTTTTAGATAGGATGATGTCAGCACACTCTAGAGAGAAAGAAGTTAATGATGGGGATGTTGTTGTTGTTTTTAAGATTATTTATTTATTTAAAAGGCAGAGTTAGAGAGGGAGAGACAGAGATCTCAGGGCTGGGCCAGACTGAAGGCAGGAGCCAGGAGCTTCTTCCTGGTTTCCCATGTGGGTGCAGGGGCCCAAGCATTTGGGCCATCTTCTGCTGCTTCTCAGGCCATAGCAGCGAGCTGGATGGGAATTGGCGCAGCCGGGACTGAACCAGTGCCCACATGGGATGCTAGCAGCACAGGTTGCGGCTTTACCCGCCGTACTGCAATGGTGTCACCAGGATGTGTGTGCTTGGTACTCCTCAATTTTTTTCTGAGTGTTTTTCAGCTTTACACATAGAATGTCGTTAGGAAGAAAATGCAGTAGAGTGAAGCTGATGGGGTCCAGGGCACAAGGGGAAGGACTGAACAGTTCATAGACCGGAGGCTGTTTGGCCTAGCTGTTGCCCACATGCCACATCGGAGTGCCTGGGCTTCACTCCAGGCTCTAGCTGTTGATTCCAGCTCCTGCCACTGCAGACCCCGGGAAACAGCTGTGGTGCTTCAGGTAACTTCCTGCTACCCATGGCGGAAAAGCTTTGTTGAGTTCCTGCCTTCCAACTTTGACCCCGCCTGGTCCAAGCTGTCATGGGTCTTTGGGGAGTAAACCAGCAGATGGGAGCACTTTCTCATAAGTAAAAAAAAAAAAAAAAAAGTTTAAGAATCTCATGGAACATGTGTATTATGAAAAAACTATGCATGGGGCTAGCACTGTAGTATAGCAGGTAAAGCTGCCACCTGTGACCCTGGTATCCCAGTGTGCCAGCTGCTTCACTTTCGATCCAGCCCTCTGTTAATGCACCTGAGAAAGCAACAGAGGATGGCCCAACGGCTTGGGTCCCTGCAGCCATGTGGCTGCTACACTTCTGATCCAGCTCCCTGTTAATGACCTGGGAAAAGCAGCAGAATATGGCCCAAGTGCTTCAGGTCCTGCCAACCATGCGGGAGACCCGGAGAAAGCTCCTGGCTCTTGGGTTTGGGCAGGCCCAGCCTTGGCCGTTGCGGCCATCTGGGAAGTGAAGCAGCATTTGGAGGATCTCTGTCTCTATCTCTCTGACTCTGACTTTCATATAAATAAATAACTTTGTGGCCGGCGCCGCGGCTCACTAGGCTAATCCTCCGCCTTGTGGTGCCGGCACACGGGGTTCTAGTCCCGGTTGGGGCGCCGGATTCTGTCCCGGTTGCCCCTCTTCCAGGCCAGCTCTCTGCTGTGGCCCGGGAGTGCAGTGGAGGATGGCCCAAGTGCTTGGGCCCTGCACCCCATGGGAGACCAGGAGAAGCACCTGGCTCGTGCCATCGGATCAGCGCGGTGCGCCGCCCACAGCGCGCTGGCCGCGGCGCCATTGAGGGTAAACCAGACGGCAAAGGAAGACCTTTTCTCTCTGTCTCTCTCTCACTGTCCACTCTGCCTGGTCAAAAATAAAAAAATAAAAAAATAAAAAATAACTTTGTGAATGGAGCACTTGTTTTAAGAAGGGACTAGATGGGGGCTGCCTTGGTGGCACAGTAGGCTAAGCTGCCGCTGCAATGCTGACATGCCGTATTGGTGTGCTGGTTCGAGGCGGTGGTGTTTTTTTGGATGCTCAAGGCATTTTGTTTGCTGGAAAACCAAGTAATAATAACATCTGCTATTCTGGGAGTGCTGTTGAGAAATGTAGCCAAAGCTTTAGTGGAAAATGCCTTGGGGAAATGGCGTTGTGGTGCAACAGGCTTAACTGCCGCTTTGCAACATCGGCATCCCCTGTCAGAGTGCTGGTTTGAGTCTGGCTGCTCTGCTTCTGATCTAGCTTCCTGCTAGTGATGGCCCAGGGTGGGGCCCTGCGGCCCACTTAGGAGGTCTGGATGGAGTTCCCGGTTCCTGGCTTTGGCCTGGCCCAGCCCTGGCTATTGCAGGTACTTGGGGAGTGAGCCAACGGATGCAAAAAAAATAAAAAATAAAAATAAAAAATCTCTGTCCCTCCCATTCTCTCTGGCATTCTGCCTTTTTTTAAAAATTTTTTTTTATTTTTTGACAGAGTGGACAGTGAGAGAGAGAGAGAGAGAGAGAAAGGTCTTCCTTTTTGCCGTTGGTTCACCCTCCAATGGCCGCTGCGGCTGGTGCACCGCGCTGATCCGAAGCCAGGAGCCAGGTGCTTCTCCTGGTCTCCCATGGGGGTGCAGGGCCCAAGCACTTGGGCCATCCTTCACTGCACTCCCGGGCCACAGCAGAGAGCTGGACTGGAAGAGGAGCAACCGGGACAGAATCCAGTGCCCCGACTGGGACTAGAACCCCGTGTGCCAGTGCCACAGGCAGAGGATTAGCCTATTGAGCTGCGGCGCCAGCTGGCATTCATTCTGCCTTTTAGATAAATACATCTTTACAAAAATCCAGGGAAAATTTACCAGTGTCTTTCACCCTGACAGTGCTCTTGCTTGCTCTTCTCTGCCAAGCAAGCTGGCATATGTATATATGTGTGTATATATATATGTGTGTGTGTGTGTGTGTGTGTGTGTGTATATATTTACTTATTTACTTGAAAAGCAGTTAGAGATCTTCCATCCACTGGCACACTCCCCAAATGGCTGGAACGTCTGGGGCTAGGCCAGGCTGAGGACAGGAGCCAGGAACTCCATCCTGGTCTCCCACATGGTGCAGGGGCCCAAGTGCTGAGGTCCTGTTCCGCTGCTTTCCCAGGTGCATTAGCAGAGAGCTGTACAGGAAGCAGCAGCCGCGACTTGGACTGGTGCTCACGTGGATGCTGGCGTTCCTGGTGGCAGTTTTCACCCGCTGCGCCACAATGCCAGCCCCAAGGCCTATACTTTTCATTTTTATCTTTTAAACCCATTTGTCCATGAACTTTTCTTCAATTCCTGTTATTACTTGTCAGTTGAACTAAAAATGACCCTGTGGTGTGCCATGTACAGGCTAGAAAATGCAACTGAAGAGAATTTCAAAGAGTATCGATTATACTTAAACTAAGGCATTACTTGATATACCTAACAAAGCAATTCACTTGAAATTTGGTGCTCTAGATATTCCATTTTAAAAAATATTTATTTATTTATTTGAAAGGCAGAGTTAGAGGCGTGGAGGGGGGGGTCTTCCATTCTCTTCCATTTGCTGGTTCACTCCCCAAATAGCCGCAACGGCTGCAGCTCAGCCGATCTGAAGCCAGGAGCCAGGAGTTCCTTCCATGTCATCTCACATGGGTGCAGGGGCCCAAGGGCTTGGGGCATCCTCCGCTGCTCTCCCAGGCCATGGCAGAGAGCGGGATTGGAAGTGGAGCAGCCAGGACTTGAACCGGCATCTGTATGGGATGCCAGCACCACAGGTGGTGGCTTTACTCACTATGGCACAGCACCGGCTCCCTAGATACTCCTTTTTTTAGTCTGGATTTTATTCTGGACAACTTTTCAGAAGTGGCTGGCAATTGAAACCTTATGTCCTATTAAACATCCTTTCCAGCAAATAACTTCAATCATCTAAAGAAAACTGGACAAGAAAATAGACTCTCCAAATCTTGGGGTGATGATTATGCCTCTGTTGGTGCTCATCTAGCTAAGAAAGAGGTTTGCAACCCAGTATTCTAGTGTCCTGGAGTGATCCTTATGTGTAGTTGGATGGTGGAATGTTAACTTCTCCTCCCCTTTCAGCACAGTCTAGCCAACAGACATCCATAATTACAGGTTCTTAGTTAAAAGTAGGAAAATAAAATTTTAATTTGTGAGGTGAAGAAATGAGAACATCTTAAAATCGGAGTCAAATAGACACCTGGAAAATGAAAGTTAACTTCCTGTGAAGGAAACAACATGGTGACAGGTAAAAAAATAAGTAAAAATTTTCTCTCTGGTAACATTTTTTTAAAAAAAGAATATGAACTGGGACTGGTGCAGTGGCGTATCGGGTAAAGTCGCCGCATGCAGTTCGAGCCCCGGCTGCTCCACTTCCGATCCAGCTCTCTGCTATGGCCTGGGAAAGCAGTGGAAGATGGCCCAAGTCCTTGGGCCCCTGCACCCATGTGGGAGGCCCGGAAGAAGCTCCTGGCTTCTGATAGGCGCAGCTCTGGCCACTGTGGTCATCTGCGGAGTGAACCAGCAGATGGAAGACTCATTCTTTCTCTCTCTGCTTCTGCCTGTCTGTAACTCTTCCTCTCAAATAAATAAATACATCCTTTAAAAAAATATGTATTCATTTATTTGAAAGGCAGGGAGCTGGATCAGAAGTGCAGCCGCCAGGACTGGAACCTGTGCTCCTGAGATTCCAGTGTCGCGGGTGGCAGCTTCACCTGCTGTGCCACAACACTGGCTCCTCCAGCAACTTAAATTTACCTGGTAGAGGGTTAGCCAAGGTGGGGAACTTTCTTCCTTCCCTCCCTCCTTCCTTCCTTCCTTCCTTTTTTCTTCTTTCTTTTTCTTTCTTTCTGCCTCTCTCTCTCTCTCTCTCTCTCTCTCTCTCTCTCTCTCTCTCTCTCTCTTTCTACCAAGGACCTTATAACATCAGTAGTGGTCTCTTTCTTTTTACCAAGGACCATTTGATACTTATAACATCAGTAGTGGGACATACAAAGTTATCAACTTAAAAATTAGCCTTCCATAGATTTATGGAATTTCTAGTGCTGCCTATGGTTGCCAGAACAAATGATTCTGTGGGCCTTATACGACCTGAGGGCTGGATGTTTCCCACCCTTGGAAGACTTAAAAATATACACTGATTAAAAAGAACTCTCCAGGGAGTTGCAATAAATGCTGGATTGAAGCCCTTAACAAGAATGAGCCAGAACTGATGACATGTGCTTTCTGTAAGTCAGAGAAGGAACCGGACGAGACTCCAGAAAACAGAAGGCCGCCCTTGGCCTTTTGGTGCCCAGTGTTAAAATGTCAGCAACGGGGCAGTCAGCTAAGGAACCACGGCTTCAGAGAAGTGGGCGGGGGACACCTTTTGGAAGGTGCTGCCTTCAGGAGAGGAATGGCCAGAGGACACGTGGCACTGCTGTTGGGTTCATCGGGGTCTCGGGCTAATAACCGCTGCGCTCTACGGACACCTGGCCAGCAGCTCGCTAGGGACTGGGGCTGTTTAAGAGAGCCCGGTATTTCCTGCTTGTCTTCTCTAACTAGGTGAGGTCAGGGGTGCGGGCGCTCCACCCGCCGTGTGGCCGTGGGAAACTAATGGAGTTAAGGGCAGCCTGGACTCGGCCGCCGCTGGCACTCGAGGCTCGTGCCGGCTCTCCTCCGCCTTTCTCCCCGGCCCCTCGGCAGGAGCTTCGCCCCACACTGCCTCTTCTCGTCCGGGCGCCCCCTCCGTGTGGGAGCCACAGCCCGGGCCATTCCGCCACCCGGGCACAGGGGACTCGCAGAGGCGAATACTTCGCCAACATCGTTTTAAATAAAGTTTTTGCCATCAAAAAAGGGAGGGGGCGGGATGGAAGGAGGCCTACTTAATCGCCAAGCGGTTGGCCAACGCGTGAAGGGGCGAAGCAGGAAGACCGCGAGACTCATCGGTGATTGGTCAGGCTAGAAGCCTGTCTGGACTGTACCACACTTACTTGGAGGGGGGGTTGGCAAATTCGAGAGACGAGCTGCTTGCTTGTGAGTACTTCCAGCACACACGCATAATTCTTTTTTATTTCCGAGGGTTTCCGTTAGGATACAACAGGGACAGAAAACAAGGCGCAGGAAACGGAGGGAGTCTCCCGGCCATTTCCTCATTCTCGACTCCCGCACAGTATGCCGACCCTGCTCGCCTAGTCGTCAGCGGAACCCGACGCCCTTGCGCGCGCGTTCTCGTCTTCTTGCGTGCGTACGGCGCTGTGCTCCTACAGCCAATCAGACGGCGAGGTCGCCGCGGTCGCCGCGGTTCGCGCGCACGCCCCAGAGGGGAGACGGGGTGGGGGCTGTGGGTGAATGGGAGAGTGAGCAGGGGCGGGCGCGACGGCGTGAGCCGCATGAATGAGAGAAACGTGCCCAGCGCGAGACGTCGCGCGCGCCCGGGCCAGGGAGCCAATGGGAACGCTGGGAGGGCTCGAGACCCGGCACTGAGCGCAACGGCCGCGCGCCGGCTCGCTGACGAGCGTCGCCAGGCGGGAGCGCGCGGGAGCGGGGCGGGCGTGGAGCGTGCGGGGGCCGCGCGCTGCCTCTCAGAGGCCGGACGGCACTGCCGGGAGGCGGCGGTGACAACGACGGCGGCGGTGACGGGCGCCGCTCCGGGGGTGAGTACCGGGGACGCCGGCCCCTGCGGAACCGGAAGTGCCGGGCCAGTGAGGTGGGAGGGGAGAGTGACCTCTAGGGAAGGGGGACCGGAGCGGGGGAGGGGGTTAAGGCCCCGGCCCTGCTCCAGGCCGGGTCATCCAGCCGCGGCAGGGACCCGTGGGCCCCTGAAACGGCCGACGAGTCGAGGCTGGGATCCAGGGCCGCCGGGGCTCGGGACCGGGTAGTGCCGGGCCGCCGGGCTCCGGACTGCGGTCTTCGGAGCCTGGCACCCAGCCGCCGCCCCTTCCGCCCCCGGCCCTCCGCCGCTCGCTCCCCCAGCCTCGGTGGGCCCCGCCGCCGCGGATTCCGCCCTCTGGGGCTCCGTGGACGTTACCTGTGCCCGGGGACGGGTTCGGTGCCGTTCCCCCTTTGACCGTGCGTTTCGAGTTCTCCACTCGAGCTTCGTCCTGTAACCTGTGCTTTTCCACCCTCCAACCCCACCGGCCGAGGGCTCCGTGCTGCCAGTACTTTGTACTTTTTGCCAGTGGAGCCCGAACGTGTTCGCCGGTGTTTTTACCTGTAGGGATCTCTTTGTGGGGCGGGGGGTGAGGGTGTCTCACCCCCTTGACCGATTGAAAACACGGCCGCGAGAAGGAAGAAAGTGGCTCAAAGTTACTGACTCCAGATCGTTTTTTTGCCCTGCGTTTTTCACTTCCTGGTTAATGCCATCTTGCCCAGGTTGATTTCACGTTTGCATTCCCACCTTTTATCCCGATTAGCCCTTCAGTCCTGTGTCGGATTTCTAAGGAGGGCTCGCTATAGGCCATTCCAGAGAACCCGTCAAGTGTTTACAAGAATTGTATTGCCATGTACTTTGCTACCTTGATATATAGTGATAAAATCCACATTAAACTTTTGACTCTTTTTTTTCCCCCCGATATCTCAACATGGATTATTCCATGGCACTTCAATGGCTGTGTTTTTAGCTTTTCCTGTATTGTGCTGTTACACCACCTTGTTTCAGCAAGCAATGTCTGTGTTGCCAGGGATACTGTTCGGATCCCTTAACCCCTTTAAGGAGGTATTTGTGTTCAATCTTATTAAAGCTCTCAAAGTACGTGTCCTATAGTATTCGTTTTATATGTGCATATTTTCATTCCATAGTTGACCGTGTGCCTGAATATGTCGCATATGCCCTTGTATATTTTTTGATACTGATGTGGATCCACGCTGTTGCCACTGTTGAACGACATTTACCCTTCCAATCTCATCCCTGCCATCTGCAGTAGATCCTTCTGCTAAGACTTAGTATGTCTCTCTACATACCCAGGAAATTTTTAGGTTTCATCCTGCCCCTTCTTTTAAAATATTTATTTATTTGAAAAGCAGAGACAGACGCAGAGACAAACCTTGCATCTGCTGGTTCACTTCCCAAATGCTTGCAGCAGTCCAGGTTAGGCTTGGCTGAGGCCAGGAGTCCTGAATTCAGTCCAGGTCTCCCATGTGGGTGACAAAGCCCAGTCCTTAAGCCATCACCTGCTGCCTCCCAGAGTGTGCATTAGCAGGAAGCTGGGTTGGAAGGAGAGGAGGCCAGTGTGGGATGCAGGTGTCCCAGGCAGCATCTTAACAGCTGTGGTAAATGCCCGCCCCTGAAGCCCTGTTTTTAAGGACAGAAATGATGAATCTTGAAGGAAGGTGCCTTTGCTTTCCATGCCACAGGTGAGAACGAAAATGATGAATTCAAGGTACATTTGTATTTTTATTATCCAAATTTTCTGATACTTTCAATCTCTACCTCTGGCATTAAGAAATACCAGACTGCTTGAGGAGAATAAAATTGCTTTGTTTTTAAGTTCTAACTTCAGTAAATTTTGTGGTGTACAGATTTCAAGTTGTCGTCATTGGGCAGTTAGTATAGTGGATAAACAAGAGGTAGAAAGGGTTTGTCAGCAAAGGGGCATGTGAACTCTTGGCTTCTGAACCTGGCTGCCCAAGTGATTCAGTGGAGTGCCCTCAGGCATTCTCTAGCCTTCAATTTTACAGAGTGGGATAAGGGACTGTGTCACCAGATAATGTGAGTAAAGTGCTTTGAGATCACTAGATGAAAAGCATCCTATAAAGTCAGGGTGCTGATGTTATTTTGTTACTATCATCAACAGAAGTAATTGTTACTTTTAATCATATTGGGGTAGGTGGGGCTCACTTTACTTCCTAATAGGCCAATGTAGGAATGAAAAACTTTTGAATTGGAAAGAAAGGGACTAACCTTTATGGTAGCTTCAGCTTCTCATAGATGGGATCTCATCTATTTGATGCAAGGTCCTTAGTGGGTGATCCCAGAAGACCAACAATTCAACTTCTGCCTCCTCAGTATCATAACTACAAGGCACAGAGGGATAAGGGAGAGACATACACAAAAAGGAAATGAGACTTGCTGTCCTAATATGAGTTGGGTTTTTCATTTTTCGTTGTAGCAATACTGTGTCCAAAGAGAAACCTCTGTTTTAGGCCCTCCCTTTACAGTTGTACCCTTGTTTTTAGTTTTTGACTTTTTTTTTTTAAGATTTATTTATTTATTTGAAAGAGTTACACAGAGAAGGAGAGGCAGAGAGAGAGAGAGAGAGTTCTTCCATCCGCTGATTCACTCCCTAATTGGCCGCAGCGGTCAGAGCTATGCCAATCCGAAGCCAGAAGCTTCTTTCAGGTCTTCCCCGTGGATGCAGGGGCCCAAGGACATGGGCCATCTTTTATTGCTTTCCCAGGCCATAGCAGAGAGCTGGATTGGAAGTGGAACAGCTGGGACTCAAACTGGTGCCCATATGGGATGCTGGCACTGCAGGCAGCAGCTTTACTCGCCACACCACAGCACCGGCCCTTTGACTGTTCTATATTTATTGCTGCTTGTTTGTGTCAGAGGAGATGGGTCCCTTACAAGAACTAGTTCTTTGATGACCTTAGACCAAGTAAAACCATGTTCTCCTTGTTCTGATCTCAACAGCACTTAGAATTCTGAGTAGAGGATTTTAAATCCTTTTTTTCCTCCCCATTCCGAGTCCTTTCCCACATACATATAAGAGAAGTGGAAAATAATCTTTCTTTCAAAACACATTTTTTTAACAGAGTAGCCTGTGGAACTTTTAGCCTTGTTCTTAAGAAATGCCCTGAAAGGATTTTTTGATAGAGGTATTTGTTTTTCTCCAGGTGAGGCACTGTAACCCCGTTGAACTCTGTGTCCGGAAAGCCCAGGATTGAAGAAGACAGACCAGACACATTGACCTGGAAGCAGGGACATCTGTGGAACTTCGCTTTCATCCTGAGTTCTTTTTTAAAGTATCACGTGGAATTGATTTGTTCATCTTATTCTGCTTATTGGGAAGAAATGGCTTCAAGGATTTTAAGTTTTCCTTCAGTTTTGCATGAACTCTGTAGGAAACGGAGCCCTTGAAGGGCTTGGGATTAACAAGAGATTGAAGACAGACAAGCTTGCTCTCTCGCTGTTTTCTCTCTTCTTCAAAGAAAAGTATTTACAACTCAACTCGTAACAGCTGTAGTCCAGCATTAGCCATCAAGAGAGAAATAAATAAAATTAACCCACCATTGCCACAGACTACAAACCCTGGTGAAGTCAAGGTGTGGGAGTGGTGGCATTGAGAAGACTGCTTAAAACGGACAAGGACTACAGTTAAAACAGCTTCTCTTTCAAGCTGGAAGGGGCCACAGGTTCCTTCTTGGATAAAAACACACAGTGCACACCTCTTTTAGGTGCTGCTCACATTTTGTGGAAGTGTAGTACTCGTGGAGGTACTATAGTATCTCCTCAGGAATTTTTCTTTGCTCAGAATTTTCTGCCCTGCCTTGATATTTTTCCCTTTCTTTTTAAGATCTGCCTCCATCCATGAGCTGTACCTTGATCTGTCTGACTGTCCGTGTTCTCTACCTGCAGCCATTTGCATGTGTACAACCTACTGTTTGTGTCCAATTTTTAAGCTGTACAAGTTGTGTTTCTTAATCTCTTCTGCTTTGTTCTGGGGAAGTGGTTATTCATCATTTGGAATCACCTTTCCCCCTCCCATATGCTTTCCTTCATTTGAGATCTTTTGACCTTCAGTTTTGTTTGGGAGGGGGAAGGGTGATAATTCTAAATTTTTGGTTTCCCTGTTTTTCTTCTGTACTCTTCTCTGTTGGTTCCCTTATCCCATTTTCTTGTCCGTTCTGCCGCTGTGTGGGCCTGGGCTATGCGGCAGGGCAGATCTCCCTTCAGAGCTCCAACATGCCCGCAGAGTCTGGAAAGAGATTCAAACCCAGCAAATATGTCCCGGTCTCGGCAGCCGCTGTCTTCTTAGTGGGAGCTACAACACTCTTCTTTGCTTTTACGTGAGTTTTCTCATAGCAGTGGTTTTGGGAGTGGGGTTGGGGTTCTCTGTGGGAGGTGAAGAAGTAAGCTTTCTCTTGAGTTTTGCTAGTACTTGGTGTCTGGTATCAGTAAATTCAAGTCCCAAAGATATTTAAGAAAAGTGAGGAAGAAACCTGTCCTTTTAGCCTTGTTATATGTTTCACTTTCTTGGATCTTATGCCTTCCAGTCTTCACTACCTTTGAAATCATAGATGTCTTCATAATTTCCTACTCAGCTCCATCATTGGATGATCCTAAACTAGGAAGGAAGTTGGAGGAAACCACTAAGGAGACTTAAAGCAGCTTGAGCAATAAATTCTATAAGAGAAAGAGAACTTAAGGCTTTTTCTTTTCTTTTTTTCTAAACATTTATTTATGTATTTGAAAGAGTTACAGAGGAGAGGCAGAGGCAGAGAGAGATCTTTCATCTGCTTGTTCACTCCCCAAATGGGCACAACGGTCAGGCTGAGCCAGACCAAAGCCAGGAGCTTCATCAGGGTGTCCCACGTGGGTACAAGGGCCCAATGACTTGGGTCGTCCTCTGCTGCTCTCCCAGGTGCATTAGCAGGGAGCTAGATGGGAAGTGGAGCAGCTGGAACTCTAACTGGCGCCCATATGGGATGCTGGGGTCACAGGCGGAGGCTTTACTCACTATGCCACAATGCTACCCCCCCCCCCAAAGGCTTTTTAAATGGTAATGACTTTTCTCCAGGATGTCTAAAGGTTAGGTTTGAGATTGTGAAAATTAAGAATACTAGAGAATTTCAGAATTAATTTATTATTATTATATATATAATATATATATAATTAATTTATTATTATTTAACCAGTGAGATTGTTTGGCTTTTAGTGTCACTCAGATGGCCTTGTTTTAAGAGCTGAAGCCTGGAGAAGTGAAGGCTACTGGGAAAGAACAAATTTTATTAAAGAAGAAAATACTGCAAGAATCCCTTTACATTAATTCCTGCTGACAAGAATGACAGTAATTCTCCCATTGTTCTCTAGTCCTGTTGGGAAGGACTAAGTTGGCTTTCCCACTTAGAATCTTCAAACTTTACCTATGTAGTTCTGAAGTTAACCAATTTACCTCTGTGCCCTCCCCCTTTTTTTCCAAAGGTTTATTTATTTGAAAGCCAGAGTTACAGAGACACAGAGAGAGAGGTCTTACACCTGCTGGTTCACTCTCCACATGGCTGTAACAGCCAGAGCTGTGCTGATCCGAAGCCAGGGTCTCCCACATGGGTGCAGGGGCCCAGGGACTTCGGCCATATTCTGTTGCTTTCCCAGGCCATAGCAGAGAGCTGGATAGGAAGTGGAGCAGCTGGTACTCAAACTGGTGCCCATATGGGATGCTGACACTGCAGGCGGTGGCTTTATCCACTGTGCCACAGTGCCACCCCACCTCCCCCCTTTTTAAATTTATTTTAAAAGCAGAGTGATAGAAAGTGTGCTCTCTTACGTCTTCTGGTTCACTCCCCAAATGGCTACAACAGCCAGGACTTGGCCAGGTCAAAGCAAGGATCCAGGAACCCCACTCTGGTCTCCCACATGGGTATCAGTGGCCCAACTACTTGGACCATCTTCTGCCTTCTCAGGCATGTTAGCAGGAAGCTAATTGGAAATGGAGTGGTCAGGACTTGAACCGGTGCTCTGATGTGGGATGCCCATATACCAAACAGTGGCTTAACCTACTGCCCTACAGCACCACCCCCATTTTCTCTGGTAGTTTAGCTGTTGAGCACTAGGCAAGCATTTTTGCTATTAGCGGTTTAGAAATTAACATACACTAGGCTTCTGAGCCTTATACTATTGAGTCTTTGAGTTAGCACTCCAGTTGCAGCTTTGGAACCATCAGAGCATGCTGGATCTTCTGGGAAGTTCACTTTGCTAAGATACAGACTCATTGCCGTTTGTGGGGTGCTGTTCAGAGCCATTTGGGCTTGCTGGGAAGAAGAAAATGAAATGGTAGGGAATAAAAGCAATTTGGACTAATTGAAGCAGGAATTGTTGAGGTCAGGACAGTTATGCAAATATTAAATTTGAGATGGGAGGGAAAGAAAGTCCCCAAAATTGAACTTTAGATGCCAAAAGGAATTCTAAGAAATGTTGGTCAGTTAGCCATAGGAGTCAGCAAAGTAACACTGGTGTGTCTCTATTTAATTTTTACTTTAGTTTCTATATTTGAGAGGCAGGCAGATAGTGAAATAGAGCTCCCATCCACTGACTCAGCCTTCAAATGCCTTCAGTATCCAGGACTAGACAAGGCTGAAGCCAGAAGCCAGGAACTCAATCCAGGTCTCCTTTGTGGGTGGCAGGGACCCAACTAATTAAGCCATCACCTGCTGCTTCCCAGGGTTTGCATTAGCAGGAAGCTTGAATTGGGAGCTGGAGCTGGGACTTGAATCAAGGCACTCTGATAAAGGATGTGACTCCCAGCTGGTGGCTTAACTAAGCCACCAAGCTAACACCTACCCCTGTATGTAAGGTTATTATTATTATTTTTTTAAGATTCATTTATTTATTTAAAAGCATTACACAGAGAAGGAGAGGCAGAGAGAGAGAGAGGTCTGCTGGTTCACTCCCCAGTTGGCTGCAATGGCTGGAGCTGGGCCAATTAGGAGCCAGGAGCTTCTTTCAGGCCTCCCACATGGGTGCAGGGACCCAAGGACTTGGGCCATCTTCCACTGCTTTCCCAGGCCACAGCAGAGAGCTGGATCAGAAGTGGAGCAGCTGGGACTCATGAGATGCCAGCACCGCAGGTGGCGGCTTTACCTGCTACGCCACAGCACCGGCCCCTGTATGTAGTTTTTAAAGAAGGACAGAATAAATTATCATCTAGTGTATGAATATTATACTGCTTCTCACTTCCTTGAAAATGTAGAAGTAAGATTTTTTAACCTGGGCTTTCTAGCCAGAAGCTAAATCCCTCAAGGATCTAGAGTCAGCCCTTGTTTTTCTCTTTGTGCTTCTGTTTTTTTCATAATCATTTTCTCTTCCTTAAGCTCAACATGTTCAGTGTTGTGTTCTTCATCATGGTTTGTGTAAGGAGGTGTAAGTCTTTCAATGTCACAATGTGTTTTGGTTTGTACTGTTATGGCTGATATGTAGAATCAAAATTTTAACCAAGGGACATATCTTAGTGTCCTTGGAGGAGTTGTGCTGGGTCAGAAGGGTTATGTACAAGACCAGATTGACACTCATAGACCTGCTTGTTTGAGGAGTGTTTTGAAAGGCAAAGCCTTTGTAGAAGCAAGCTAGGAATTCAGGAGACAAAGTAGTTTTGTGTCTTTCAGCCTGTGTTCTTGAGGTAGGGCAGGCAGAATCCTTGTTCTTAATTTGCTAATCTGGAACCATTGAAGTGCTTGGCTGGTTATACCAGTTTGCCCACAGAGTTGTCCTGACATATACATTTTCTTAACTGATAGTTGAAATGATTTAACCTACTTTGTCATTCCCTGGTGCCAGCATGGTAGAGGCCCTCTTTATTCCATGGTCTCTCAGCCCCAGGAAAAAGGATTTTGGAGGACAGCAATACTATTTGGAATTACCGACTCTAATCCAAAACTAGAAAAGCCTTAAGTCAGTTTCCTTTCATGTTAGTTGCCTTAGGACCAATTTCTGGGCTCCCTTTTTCCCCTGGGGTCTCCCTGGCCCACCTTGTGGAGGCATAAACATCCTCTTTATCACCCAGCTCTTAGTACGGCTGAAGTTTTCATCTTTTTTTTCATCTGTCCATAATATTTCCTCTGAAAGCATAGGTTATCTAGGTTGAGGTACCACGGTTCTCAAAAACTGTTCCCGTTGGCTTTTACCCCTTTTGCAGTTCAATTCTTAGTAGATACCCCCCTATTTAAAGCCATATTCAACCTAAAAAAGATGAAGAGACAAGAGGAAGGCTGTCTTTGAACCAGCTCTTGTTTGGGGCCTTCCATCTGTAACTACTTGGCCATCCTTATGTTCTCTTCACTAGGTTAAACTGGCTGTTTTTATATCTGTATAAACCCAAGGTGAGGATTCCTTTGGGACCTCGAGGACCGGGAACAGGAGGAAGAGTCCTTTTCAGCTAGTAGATATAATTAATGGAGTCATGTAGACCTCAGCTAATTATGACCAATTTACATTGCATGTTTCTTTGTCAAGTAGGGAAAGCTTTGAGTAGAAATTACCATTTGGGTTTGGTCATCAAAGAAGTAGTGATCTTGTGCCCGAGAAGTTTGAATAGAACAATTGAGGCCTTCCCCCAGAACCCTAACCCCACAGATTCACTGAGTTTTTCTGGTACTAGAACTAAGCAGGAGTGGTGGGCATCCTGTCTTAATTGTTTTCTTTTTCACTATTTAGGAGTGAGGGTATCTGTTGAAGTAACTCTCCATTTTGGTTAGGTACTAGACTGCATTTCATATGATCCACTTGGATCCTTCTCTGTCTTAGTTTAGTCTGTGACTGACAGTGGGAGTAGTGGTAAGTAGATAAATGGGATAACCATTGTTTGGGAGTTAGGAGACTGGAACTCTGTTAAGCTTTGTAGACCTTACTACTTCCTCACACTGTAGTGAGGAAATTGACCTGGAGCAGTTTATTTAAGCAATATGACCTTCTCAAATGCAGTCTTACATGGATTCCAGTATAGAAAACATAAAAAGAGTGGGCCTGCCCTGATTAAAATGAGACTGCATATAGAAGTCTCTTTTGGCTGAGTTAGTTAAATCAGTGTCTCATATTTATTTCTGAAGTAAGTGGGGGAGGAGGTGTAGTATCTGTGTCAGGTGATCCTTTAAGGGAAGAATAAAATCAGTGTTGTCCAGAAGTCTGGGATGGTCTTTTCAGTATGTCATCCATGGTACAGCTTGCTTTTCAATTTCTGCCTCTGGGCTCTTCCAACCCTTTTACCCACAGAGAATTGAGCAACTCTTATTTTTCTCCTGTAGCTGTGGAGGTGCTAGCACCTGATCTGAGTGGGAGTAGCCTCCTGATTTAGGGGATTAATTGAGCAGTAGTTTCTTCTGCCTACATCCAGGAATAAGGCCTAGGTCCTACATCTAGCATTCAGCTACTTGAAAATCTGGGTTACAGAGGCAGGTATTTTCAGAGAAACTTAATCACCTGCAAGGGGAGAAATTGTTTTCCCAGGAGATTTTTAGGAAAGCAGTCCTTTATAAATGAGGATCCCCAAGAGCAGGAAGTAGGACATTCATTTCAACCTTCTGTCATCAACCAGGAACACAAGTCATAGGCTCAAAAGCAGTATGTTAGGCATTGGAGGAATGCATAGACCTATTCTTAAGGAGCTTAGTGTTTCTGTTTTAAGTGTTCTTGAATCCTTAGTACCATACATAAGGGAAGTAGAATTAAGGATGAAGGTAGACTTGGAATGATAATTGATAGTTCATCATGTTATTTTGCATCTGCTCTCCAGTGAATGCTCAGTATTAAGCCAGCTGGTTTAAAAAGAATTCAGGATCATTTCAAATATTCTCCATCTCATATTTGTACAATATAGCTGAATTAACAGAGTTGGAGAGTTTCTTGTGGATTGCCTAAAGCTACATAGCAAGCATTCATTGAGGCAGGATTAAAATCCAAAAAATTTTTTTTAAAGATTTATTTATTTTAGAGGCAGAGTTATGGAGAAGCAGAAGCAGAGAGAGATCTTCCATCCTGATTCACTCCCAGAGGGCCACAACGGCTAGAGCTGCGCTGATCCGAAGCCAGAAGCTTCTTTCAGGTCTTCCACGTGGGTGCAGGGGCCCAAGGACTTGGGCAGTCTTCCTCTGTTTTCCCAGGCCATAGCAGAGAGCTGGATCGGAAGAGGAGCAGCCGGGCCTCCAACTGGCGCCCATAAGGGATGCCGACCCCTTCTGTTTTTTTTTTTTTTTATCTCTAGGAACTTAACCATTTTTTATAATTGGAAGTATTAGGGAGGACTAGGAAACAGGGTTTCAGGGTTGTGGCTGTTGAAACCCACCCTCAATTTTATATGGTCTTGAAAACAAGAGTGCTGAATGGGCAGGCAGAAGAACCTGTTCTACCTGGGGTGGTGTAGATCTGGGAGTCCCACCAATGAGTCAGCCAATCTTCTGGGCCATTGCTGGCCACTCCCTAAGCTTTTGGAGCTCTGTGATTATTGCTGTAGCCTGAGGACGAGCCCCAACAACTCCTCTTTAGCTCTGGCCTCATCATCCATCAAAGGCAACAGATTCAGACAGGCCACATGGGATGGCCACCTAGGAATCTGGCGAAGTACGATAGCAACGGAAAGCTTCTCTTCAAGCCAAACAGAGTATTGGATAGGACAGGAACAGGTCTTGTTCACACATGCCTCTCCATAATGGGGTGAGAGTGCTAAGGTCAGAAACAGTGGGTCTGTGAATCTAAGAATGAATACTGCCCATTTTGTTGTTTGCATTTTTATTTCTAGATTCTGTCACTGTGGGGACAGACTTGCCTTAGGCCATGGATATTGGAAATCAGTTCCAGGATTATATACTTCAGCTGGGGTGGGTTGATAGCAAGAATGTTCTAAGGTTAAAGTTAATCATTCCGAGGTAGGTTGGTAAGATACTCAAGATGCTCAAGAAATTGGGGGTATTGCTTTGTTTGGAAATGAAACAGAAGTGTAGGATCAGAAAAATCAGGGCCTGTGGGAAGAGGGCTGATCTCATTCACCTTAGTTTCCCGCAGGGATGGAGGGGACCCATCAAGAAGGTCAAGAGCCTACAGTAGCCACAGTGGCCGATTCTGGGAATAAGACTTTAAAATCATGGGCACTTCAGCGTTCTAAGGATTTAATTTCTTTTTCCCTTCTAATTATCTTCCCAGGCTGTAGCAGTCAAGTGAGTCACCCATTCTCTTCTTCCCCAAGCGGAAATTGAAGCAGCAGCTAAGTCCTAGGGAGGGGCTCTGACCTGGATGACTGGTTTTCAGTTTCTCTCCCTCCCTCCTAAGGAACCTACGAGGTCAGGCATTGGGGTGGGGCCACTCAGGGATTCTGCCTTGTTGCTTCTATTGTACCTAAGCCCTGAACCAAAGAACTCAACAGAGGAACAGGCTTCACTGGGGTCTTTATTTGATGACAGCGTATAACTATGACTGAAGGTCTGTTTTGTCCTTGAAATTTGTGTCCTTGCTCCAACTTCATTTTTTTCCCAGTTATATTCTGAACCATCAAAGGAAGCCAAGTGTTAATTGACATTTGCCATCTAAAAAACCTGATGCATAATAAATATGTGAATTTTTTCAATGAATAGCTGAATGGAATCTGAATAGATGGTGGTGGTAAAGATTTATGTGATACATTGTAACTCTCTGAATTGTTCTGAATTACTGTTGAGAGCTGTGCCATTTGTTTTGTTTTGATGGAATAAGATCGTCTTTCCTGACAGAATCCAGGACTGTTGTAGATTAATCCTCCAGAATCCATGCTCTCTTGTTCTTCTGGTCCCTTCTTTCTTTCCTTCAGTGAATTCTTTTCTGGCTGGTCTGGATAAAGGGGACAAGGACAGATGCTGTCCTAATTCTGGAGATTAAGTTCTCAGCCACAAAACAGATTAGGGTATTTGGGCATTGTTTATGGTGGGAAGTTGTCTCTGAGCTAAGACAGATGAGAGGTGTTTGATACTACACAAACAGCACAGCAGTTTCTTCTGAAACTTCCAACTCCCAGGAAACCAGCAGAGAAAGGAAGAGCTCTTGAAGTATTTCCACTTACCACTCACATCCTGAAAGAAACTCAGCTTAATCCTAGACACTCTTCATAGTTAAACAAAAAATCTACCTAAAGCTTGGCTCTTGATTTGAATGCTGTGGAATACCGGATATGTTCAGCGAGTTTCTGTTTTGCCACAGGGTTTGGGAATTAGTTGGTCTGGTATTTTCAACTCTGTGCTTCATTTTTCAGATGTCAGGTGTCTAGTTTTTTCTTTTTTCTTTTTTTTTTTTTAAATTTATTTATTTGAAAGAGTTACACAGAGAGAGGAGAGGCAGAGAGAGAGAGAGAGGGAAGTCTTCCATCTGCTGATTGGCTGCAATGGCTGGAACTGCACCAGTCTGAAGCCAGGAGCTTCCTCCAGGACTCCCATGCGGGTGCAGGGGCCCAAGCACCTGGGCCATCTTCTGCTGCTTTCCCAGGCCATAGCAGAGAGCTGGATCAGAAGTGGAGCAGCCAGTACTCGAACTGGCGCCCATATGGCATGCCAACACTGCAGGTGGCAGCTTTACCTGCGATACCACAGCTCTGGTCCTGTTTTTTGTCTTGATATTCATACTTATCTATGTTTTTAAAAATTTTCCAACCTTGAGAACTCTCAAGAATCAGTTAAATAAAACTCTCAAGAATCAGTGAAGAAACTCGAGGTAATATAGAGTGGTTCAAAGCTTGCTGGATAGAGGGGGGTTGGAGAGGCCAGTGGTATCCCATGCTTTGGGCCAGTGTGCAGGTCAGTGGAACATGGCTGGGATCCAGAAGCCTCAGGCTGCTCCAGAAAAGGGAACGTAGCTGGTGTTAGTTATATAGTCACTGGTTCTCTCATCTGACTAGAAAGATTATTAGGACAGATTTCAAAACCTAGAAAGAGGCAGGCATTTGACCTAGTGATTAAGGTACCCGTATCCCACATTGTAGTACTTGGCTTAGTGTCCTGATTCCAGCTTCCTGCTCATGCAGACCCTAGGGGCAGTAGTGATGGCTAAAGTAATTGGGTTCCTGGCTTCTAGCTTCATCCCAGCCTGCCCTAGCCCTGGCAATTGTGGGCATTTGGAGAGTGAACTACTGGGTGGGAGTTTGGTCTTTCAAATATTTTTTTCAATGTGTGGAAAGATTTCACAGGAGAAGAATAAATCTGAATACAGACCTTAATACAAAGGGTTAAAACAGAGATTCTGAGTCTTATACCTTAATCTAAAATGAGTAGTTCCTAGGGAAATTGGACCTACTTGATGGAAAGGATAAAGGTAATCATTTGAGGGGGTTTGATGCTGTGGGCTAACAGATTAAGCCACTGCTTGGGTGGTCTGTATCCCATATCAAGAGTGTTGGTTCAGGTCCCAGCTGCTTGACTTCTGATCCAGTTTCCTGCTAATGTTCCTGGGAAGGCAGTAGATGATGGCTCAAATACTTGCTACCCACATCGGAGACCCAGATGGAGTTCTGTCCTTGCTTTGGGCTGTCTCAACCTTGGCTGTTGCAGACATAGGGGGTAAATCAGTGAATGGAGGCTCTCTCTCCCCCTCTCTCTCACTCTGCCTTTCAAATAAGTAAGTAAAAAAATAAATCTTAAAAAAAAAAAAAAAAAGGATTATTTGGGACTGCAATGATAAACTGTACCAAGTATGGTGGGGGGCTGAGTCCTTACAGATTTTTTTGAATATTGTTAGTATACAAAGTGGTGGAGGCAGCTTCTTATTTTCTTTGTTCTTTGTTCAGGTGTCCAGGACTAAGTCTGAATGTGTCACCTGCAGTGCCCATCTACAATGCAATTATGTTTCTCTTTGTTCTGGCCAATTTCAGCATGGCCACCTTCATGGACCCAGGCATTTTCCCTCGAGGTAAGATCTTCCCTCTCCTTACTAACTCTGAAAAAAATGGTTGGTCTTTCACAGTTGGTCTTGGGCCTTCAGAGTCCTAGGATTAAGGGATACTTGTATAGTCTGATGATGAAAAGTCAAGGTCTTCAGGAATAGGTGTCATAACTTAGAGCTACGTGATTCACTTTGGGTCACTGATTCATCAGGAATCTATTTGGAGTATGTAGATTGGGTGATGCTGCTAGGTATGACAATAGTCCATGATGAATCAGATAATTATAACCATCTCAGATCTCTAAGGGGAAGAATTACACAGTCAGATTTCCTTTTTCAAGAATAATTATTTTATGAATGTTCAGAGGGTCTGGCATTGTGTCCCAGTGGGCAGAACCACTGCCTGCATCACCAGTATCCCATACAGGTGCCAGTTCAACTCCTGGCTGTTCTTTCTGTCCAGCTCTCTGGTGATGGCCCCAGAAAAGCAGCAGAAGATGGCCCAAGTGCTTGGGCCCTTGCCCACCTGTGTGGGAGACCTGGAGGAAGCTTCAGTCTGGCTCAGCTGTGGCCATTGTGGCCACTTGGAGTGAACCAGTGATGGAAGATTCTCTCTCTCTTTCTCTCTCTCCCTTTCTCTGTGACTCTTTAAAAAAAATCTTAAGCAAAGAAATATACAGATACCTTTTGGGATGCTGTGGCAATAATATGAGAAAAAACCAGGTGAGAACTTGAATTCTCAAGAATTCAAGAAATAGAATTTCAGAAATAGAAACAATTCAAAAATAGAATTTCAGAAGTAGAATTTGTCATGACAGCTTATTGAAGGAAAGTGAGAAGCTGAAAGAATTGTCTAAGATAGTTTCAAACTTCTAAATTGTTAGATAACTTTGATGCTGAGTTATAAGATATTTGGAGGGAATACAGACAGCACTCTTAGACATGTTGAATTTGAAATATTTATGGGTCATCCAGGTAGTTACCTGGTAGGCAGCTGGGTAGTCAGAGTCAAAGACTGATTTAAGAGTCTTTGGCCATGTGGAATTTGAAGCAACAGGAGTAAGATTGTCCAGTGAAAGTAGAGTGAGCTTAGTAAGGAACTAAGATCAGACTTGATTAGCACTAAAATTTTTATAATGAGCAGAGAAAGAGTCACTGAAGAGATATTCAGCATGAGTGAGAAGGTTTTATAGGGGCAGAAAGTGGAACAGCGTGGAAAGTTCATGGAGTAGCTCTTGATTGATGGTATCAGAAATTAGATCAAATAGTATGAGAACACAAAATTTCCCATTGGTTTGGTAACTAATAATTGATCTTAAAAATATTTTTTAAGTTTTTTTTTTATTTTTTATTTAAAAGGTAGAGTTACAGAGAGGAGAGGAAGAGAGAGAGAGAAAGAGATATCTTTCATCCTCAGGTTTCACTCCCTGAATGGCCACAATGGCTGGGGCTGGGCCAGACTGAAGCCAGGAGCCCAGAGCTTCTAGGTCTCCCATGTGCGTGCAGGGGCCTACAGACTTGAGTCATCTTCTGCTGCTTTCCCAGGTACATTAGCAGGAAGCTGGATCAGAAGTGGAGAGCTGGGTTTCTACTGGCACCCAAATAGGATGCTGGTGTCATAGGCAGAGACTTAACCTGCTATGCCACAATGCCAGCCCCCAAGAATAATTTTAAAGTGCATTTGTGTATGTATAAGGAAGGGATACAGATAAATTGTGTTTGGAATGCAGTGAATAAGAAATAAGGAAGCAGAGTCAATGAGTATTAAAATTATTCTCTGAGGAAGTAAGGAAAGAAGGTAAAACATGTATAATAGATGGTAGAGAAGGGGTTTTTTAGGAGATGGGAGACTAGCATGCATGTAGCATGAACAGGTAGTACCATAGAAGAGAGAGAAGCTGAAGTTAAAGACGGGATAATTGAAAGTGAGCTTCTAAAGGAAGGAGATGCTTTCTAATATACAGTGGAAAGTTATGTGTGGAAGAATTAGGCTGTTTCTATGATAGGAAGTAAGAGTAGGAACCATCATCAGTGGAAAGAAGAGAAGTTGACAGAAGTTGTTACTGATGACATGTAATTTTGCTTTTAAATGTGAGGTATGTTTTAAGAGTGAGGAGTGGGACTGGCATAGTAACTCTGTTGATAAGAGGTTTTTCTGAAATTCATTGTTCTCCCAAAGTCTGCGTCATTGTGTTTCATCATTTGTGACTTCTGCCTCAAAGATTAGGTAAGAAGAAACTTTGTGTCCCTAATGCCAACGTGTACTATTTTAAGCTTTCATTGTCCATTCATCAAATATTTAGTGATCTACTTACTCATAGATGATACTATAGTTGTCACTTGGGATGATTTCTCTCTTTTAAAAGATTTATTTCCCCAAATGCCTATGATAGTCCAGGGTGGGCCCAGCTGAAACTGGAAGCTGGGATCTTGGTCCTGGTCTCCCTTGTAGGTGGCCCTGTTGCTCCTCAAGGTCTGCAGTAGCAGGAAGCTGAATTGGCAGCAAAGTAGCAAGGATTTGAGAACCCCAGGCACCCAGTATGGGATGTGGGTGTCCAAGTGGCATGGTTCAAAATTGCACCCACTGGGCTATGAGTTCCTCAAAGGAAGAAGCTGTTTTATATATATAAATATAAAATTTAGTTTCATTTTACTTGAAAGGCCCAGTTACAGAGAGTGAGAGAGAGGTCTTCCATCCCTAGGTTCACTCCCCAAATGGCTGCAATGGCCAGGGCTGGGCCAGGAGTCAGGAACAACTTCTAGGTCTCTCTTGGGTGCAGGGGCCCAAGCACTTGGGCCATCTTCCACTGCTTTCCCAGGTGAATTAGCAGGGAGCTGGATTGGAAGTGGTGCAGCTGGGTTGGAAGTGGTGTGAACCAGTACACATTTGGGATGCCAGAGTCATGGGCAGTGGCTTTACCTGCCATACCACAATGGTGGCCCTGGGATGATTTCTTTAAAAAACCACTGCCTTCACAAAACTGTCTAGAAAGAAAGAAAAGATGTTTATGTGAATAAGTATACTATGTGATAACTTATGAGATTAATCTAAGAGATATAGTACTTAAGAGGAGAAAGAGGAGCTGGCATTGTGGTACAGTAGTTAAGCTGCCACCTGTGATGCCAACATCCCATATTGGAGTGCCATTTTGAGTCCTGGTTACTCCGCTTCTGATCTAGCTTCCTGCTTAATGTGACTGGGAAGGCAACAGGAGATGGCCCAAGTACTCACATGGGATACATGGATGGTATTCCTGACTCTAGCATTGTGACACAGTGGATTAAGCCGCCACTTGCAATACCAGCCTCCCATATGGGTACTTGTTTGAGTCCCGGCTGTTCCACCTCCAATCCAGCTGCTTGCTAATGTGCTTGGGAAAGCAGTGGAAGATGGCCCAAGTCTACAATGGCCAGGGCTGGTTCAGACTGAAGCCAGGAGTCAGGAGCTCCATTCCATTATCCAACATGGGAGAATATATTCATAATATATAAACCAAAGAATATTAGCACGTGCATTTGAGAGCCACTTCCTGAGTCATTTTCTCTTAGACCTCATTTCCCAATGGAGAATGAATTGCTTCCTCATCTGTGTTCTAGTAGTGTTGTGTACGGAGTTGATCTCACAGTATTTATGGTTCAAAATTGCACGCTCTGGGCTATGAGTTCCTCAAAGGAAGAAGCTGTTTTATATATATAAATATAAAATTTAGTTTCATTTTACTTGAAAGGCCAGGAGACACAGATCTTATCCAATGGTTCACTCCCCAAATGCCTATGATAGTCCAGGGTGGGCCCAGCTGAAACTGGAAGCTGGGATCTTGGTCCTGGTCTCCCATGTAGGTGGCCCTGTTGCCCTTCAGGGTCTGCAGTAGCAGGAAGCTGAATTGGCAGCAAAGTAGCAAGGATTTGAGAACCCCAGGCACCCAGTATGGGATGTGGGTATCCAAGTGGCATTATCCTCTGTGACAAACACCTGCCCCAGAAACCATATTTTATTTTAAAAATTTATTTATTTGAAAGGCAGAGTGACAGAGATATCTTCCATTTATTGGTTCACTCCTTAAATCCCCAGTAGCCAAATCTGGGTCAGGACAAGTGCTTGGACCATCTTCCACTGCATTTCCAAGCACATTATCAGGAAACTGTATTGGAAGTAGAGTAGCTCAGACTTCGACCCGTGTTTCAATATGGGATGCAGGCATCACAAACTGAGACTTAATGCACTATAGCACAAAGCCCACCCTAGAAGCCATGTGTGTGTGTGTGTGTGTGTGTGTGTGTGTGTTTGTAAAGGTTTACTTATTTGAAAGTCAGAGTTTCAGAGAGGGAGAGACATGTCTTCCATCCACTGGTTCATTCTGCAAGATGATCACAACAGCCAACACTGGTCCAGGTCAAAGCCAGGAGCCAGGAGCTTTTAGGTCTCCGACATGGGTAGCAGGGGCCATCTTCCGCTGCTTTTCCCAGGCCAGCAAGGAGCTGGATGGGAAGTGGAGCAGCCAGTACATGAACCAGTGCCCATACAGGATGCCAGCCCCCAGAAGCCATATTTTAAACACCATTGCATTCCTTTTTTTTTTTTTTTTAAGATTTATTTGTTTATTTGAAAGGCAGGGTTACAGAGAGAGAAGGAGAGACAGACACAGAGAAAGAGATTGTTCATCCTCTGGTTCACTTCTCAAATGGCTGTAATGTCTGGGGCTAGACTGATCCGAAGCCAGGAGTTTCTTCCAGTTTCCCATGTGGGATCAGGGGCCCAAACATTTGGGCCGTCTTCCACTGCTCTTCTAGGCCATTAGCAGAGAGCGCTGGATCAGAAGTGGAACAGCTGGGACTCAAACTGGCACGCATATGGAATGCCAGCACTGCAGACAGTGGCTTAAACCTCTACACCACAGTGCTGGCCCCATCATTGCAATATTATGCTTACTATAGTTTTGACATGGTTGTCTTTTAAATCGAATTTTCCCCTGTACAGCTGAGGAAGATGAGGACAAGGAAGATGATTTTCGAGCTCCCCTTTACAAAACAGTGGAGATCAAGGGCATCCAGGTGCGCATGAAGTGGTGTGCCACCTGCCGCTTCTACCGTCCTCCTCGGTGTTCCCACTGCAGTGTCTGTGATAATTGTGTGGAGGTAAGAACCCTGCATGGGGTCAGTGTCAGTGCATAACCTGTCTGCCTCCTAACTGCAGAACAGATTCTTGGGCTTGGATGAAATACAGTCCTGACTAACTTGGGCTTTATCCTCTAGTTCTGTCAAAAGGTGCTAGTAATGATGTACACAGTAATGGCAGAGCATAAATATCCTATTGAAATAGGAGGAGAACTTTGACTTTCTAGGCACCAAGATTGAAAGCTGTAGCCTGCCAGCCATTAGCTCATTTTTAATCCTAATTTTTATTTCATCTCTGGCTTCCACAAAATCAAGCTATTGCAAACAAATTTGTTAACATTTTTCTTCCCACTTGTCCTCTGCATCCCATATTTTTCATTTTTAACACTTTTTCAATTCTTTTTTACTTGGTTTTATGAAACTCTCTTTTCTCATGAGTTTATTTTATTTTTTATTTTTTATTTTTTTTTGACAGGCAGAGTGGACAGTGAGAGAGAGAGAGACAGAGAGAAAGGTCTTCCTTTTGCCGTTGGTTCACCCTCCAATGGCTGCCGCGGCCGGCATGCTGTGGCTGGCGCACCGCGCTGATCCGATGGCAGGAGCCAGGTACTTCTCCTGGTCTCCCATGGGGTGCAGGGCCCAAGCACTTGGGCCATCCTCCACTGCACTCCCTGGCCACAACAGAGAGCTGGCCTGGAAGAGGGGCAACCGGGACAGAATCCGGCGCCCCGACCGGGACTAGAACCCGGTGTGCCGGCGCCGCAAGGCGGAGGATTAGCCTAGTGAGCTGCGGCGCCGGCGAGTTTATTGGTTTAGCAACACTTCTGACAGTTGCCCCTTTTAGAGTTCCTTGGTCACAAAGGATAAACTTTGAGAGCTGACCTTGGCCTTTTTCCATCCTCTGGAAGGTTTCCCTTATAGATTTATAGAGAAGACAAACTGCATGAACCTTTTAATTGTTGTGACTAAATGGAGAATATGATCATAAGTTACTAAAAGCAAAATTTAAGTTCTGCTATTTCTTCTTTTTTGAAAGATTTATTTATTTGAAAGGCAGAGCGACAGAGAGGCAGAGGCGAGGGTGTGGGGGGAGCCTTCTACACACTGGTTTATTCCCCAAATGGCTGCTATGGTGAAGCTGGGCCAATCTGAAGCCAGGAGTTAGGAGCTTCTTCTGGGGTGTCCCATGCAGGTGCAGGGGCCAAAGGACTTGGGCCATCTTCTACTGCTTTCCCAGGCCATAGCAGAGAGCTGGATCAGAAATGGAGCAGTTGGGACTTAAACTGGTGCCCATATGGAATGTCAGCATTGCAGGCAGTGACTTTACACACTATGCCGCAGCGCTGGCTCCCATTATTCTTGACAGATGTGGTCTAATGCTGTGGTCCAAGGATGTCTCTCAATCTGTCTTTTTTTTGCTCCTAGGAATTTGATCATCACTGCCCCTGGGTGAACAACTGTATTGGTCGCCGGAACTACCGTTATTTCTTCCTCTTCCTCCTTTCCTTGACAGCCCACATTATGGGTGTATTTGGCTTTGGCCTCCTTTATGTCCTCTACCACATAGAGAAACTCTCAGGGGTCTGCACGGCTGTCACGTATCCTTCAAGGCCTTTGGGTTTAAGATTAGGGTTGGGAGGAATGAGGAAAGTTGAGTCCTGTGGTAGGGAAAATGGCTATGGTAGCAGGTGGTGAAGGCAAGATCCCCTTACTCTTGTTTGCCTTAACTGTTTTTCATCAGAATGGCAGTGATGTGTGTGGCTGGCTTATTCTTCATCCCTGTAGCTGGCCTCACAGGATTTCATGTGGTGCTGGTGGCTAGGGGACGCACAACCAATGAGCAGGTATGAGAGGAAGTGACAAGAGACAGACCCCTGAAGGGCAGGATATATCTATTAAGCCCTGTGATTAGTCAACAGCACAGTGCTTTCAAAAATAGATGCTCAGTGGATACTTTTTTATAATGTTGCAGAGATTAGTAACAGGGGATGTGGTAGTCCTAGTTTCTCATGGAAGCATGAGAACATAGATCATTTCTTAGGTAAGACACATCTTCTTAATCTCCATTGTATACTGGACAATTTAGGCTCTGAATTTATAAAAATAGTAAAAGACTTGGGTTAGCCCTTAGGATCCTTATATTGTTGTTTAAAATTTTTGTTATTTACTAGTAGTAACCTTGATTACTTATTTTTGTTTTTAAAGATTTTTTTATTCTATATTTTATTTTATTTAAGATCATTTATTGGGAAGGCAGAGTTACAGAGAGGCAGAGAGAGGTCTGGTTCACTTGCCAAATGCCCTAACTGCTGGAGCTCAGCTGATCCAAAGCCAGGAGCCTGGAGCTTCTTCCAGGTCTCCCACGTGGGTACAGAGGCCCAAAGAGTTGGGCCATCTTATGCTGCTTTCCCAGGCACATTAGCAGGTAGCTGGATTGAAAATGGAACAGTCAGGACTTAAACCAGCCCCCATATAGGATGCTGGTACTGCAGGCGGCAGCTTTACCTGCTATACCACAGTGCCAGCCCCTATTTTTTTATTTATTTGAAAGGCAGAGTTAGAAAGAGAGGAGGAGAGAGAGAGACTCTTCTATCTACTATTTCAGTCCCCAAATGGGTGCAGTGGCCAGGGCAAAGTGAGGAACCTGGAATTCCATCTGGGTCTCTCAAGAGGGTGCAGGCATTTGGGCCATCTTCCACTGCTTTCCCAGATGCATTAGCAGGGAGCTGGATTGGAAATGGAGGGAGCATTTGGGTCTCAAACCAGTGCCCATATGGGATGCTGGCATCGCAGGCAGAGGCTTAATGTGCTATGCCACAATACTGGCCCTGCTTATTCTTACTTATCAGTTAGACCTCTGCATACATGGATTCAATCATCATGAATACAAAATGCTCAAGAAAAAAACTGCATCTGTGTTGAACACGTACAGACTTTTTTCTTGTCACTATTCTCTAAACAATACAACTGTTTATATAGCATTTACATTTATTAGGGTTTATAAGTAATCTATAGATGATTTAAAGTATATGAGAGTCTGTGCATAGATTATATGCCAACATACCATCTTATATAAGGGACCTGAGCATCAGTGGATTATCTTAGTTTTCAATATTCAGAAAGCTGTATTTTCTACTTAACATGAGAAAACTAGATGTTTAGGGTCAGACAACTACCATGAGGCATACCTAGGATTTGAACTGAGGACCCTGACTCTAGAGATTCATCTTTTTAACTATTACAAGTATGTTTCTTCATGGGAGGTTTTCTACTCATTTTGTATCTCCCTGATGGTGAGTCATTGATTTGTGTTTTGGCCTTTGGAGATTAAGATCCCATCGTGTGATCTGGACATTTTTTTCTCTCTCTAGGTTACGGGTAAATTCCGGGGAGGTGTGAACCCTTTCACCAATGGTTGCTGTAACAATGTCAGCCGTGTACTTTGCAGTTCCCCAGCACCCAGGTACACCTACTCCATTGGTCTAATGCTCACGCTTGGTCAAAACTTTTCTTTGGGCTTGTTCTACTATAGGAGAGGCCTGGTAGAAGATGGTCTTTTAGGTGGGAGACATTCTCTTAGAATGGTGAGATGAATGCAAGGGAGAGACATGCCCATCCTTAGTGGGCACTATGAGTTCAGTTGATGTTCTTTGGGTATTATGGTTAATCAGCCTTTTCAAATAAATAAATCTGAATTGAAACGTATAGTGGCAGAGAGAGGACTAGTACATCTGCTGCTTCACTCCCCACATTGCCACAACGTAGCTTTGGCTGGGTCAGGCTAAAGCCAGGAGCCAGGTCATCTGGGTCTCCCATATGAGTGGCAGGGGCCCAAGAACTTGGACCATCTTCTGCTGCCTTCCTAGGTGTATTAGCATTAAGCTGTATCAGAAGCAGAGCGGCTGGGACTCAAACTCACTCTGATATGGGATGCCAGCATCATAAGCCAGCAGCTTAATTCACTGTACTATAATGCTGGCCCTGGTTAATCTGAGAGTTAAGTTATTCCAGATGCTGATCTGGGTGTCTGTTCACAAGGAAATTCATGTAGTGTTAAGCTTTTTAAGACTGTTTTTATATTTTTAAGTGAATAAATGAATGTCTTGCTGTTGACACTTAGATATTTGGGAAGACCAAAGAAAGAGAAGACAATTGTAATCAGACCTCCCTTCCTTCGGCCAGAAGTGTCAGATGGTCAGATTACTGTGAAGATCATGGATAATGGCATCCAGGGAGAGCTGAGGAGAACTAAGGTGAGAAGTTTAGGGATATTAGGTTAGTAACTGTCTAACCCTTGGCTGAGAGATGGAAATTTGCTTTTGGGGTAGATTTTTCTAATGATATTCATTTCTTTTCTTCTTCTTCTTCTTTTTTTTTTTTTTTTTTTTTAAGATTTATGTATTTGAAAGTCAGAGTCAAACAGAGAGAGGAGAGGCAGGGAGAGAGAGGAGAGAGAGAGGTCTTCCATCCGCTGGTTCACTCCCCAGTTGGCCACAACAGCCTGAGCTGCGCCGATCCAAAGCTAGGAGCCAGGAGTTTCCTCCTGGTCTCCCATACCAGTGCAGGGGCCCAAGGACTTGGGCCATCTTCTACTGCTTTCCCAGGCCATAGCAGCTAGGTGGATTGGAAGTGGAGCAGCTAGATCTTGAACCGGCACCCATGTGGGATGTTGGCGCTTCAGGCAAGGGTGTTTACCGGCTGTGCTACAGCGCTGGCCCCAATATTCATTTCTTATTGATTTGTGTTAAAATTACTTAAATTTTTTTTTTCTATTGAAGTTGAAATTCATTGACAACGGAAATTTGGTCCATTCGTTTCTGTATCTTCACAGGTCTTATTTAACATAGTAGTTTACATATCTAAGAAACTGAATGAGAGTTGTTGCAATGAGCATATAAGTGACAGAATTAAACACTGGAAACTTTTCTTTATCTAATACTACCTTCAAACTGACTCTCATGCCTTGTACTTCCAGTCCCAGTTTAGAAAACATGATAACTGACTTTCCAGGACCTCTCTTATATGAATTCAATTATTTGAGTTGTCCTAATGCCCATTTCTCCAAACTTGATTTTCCCTCCCCTCATTTATCCAGTCTAAGGGAAGCTTGGAGATAACAGAAAGCCAGTCTGCCGATGCCGAACCCCCGCCTCCTCCTAAGCCAGACCTGAGCCGTTACACGGGACTGCGAACACACCTTAGCCTGGCTACTAATGAAGGTAAGGGCTGCCTTGATTGATTTGCAAGAATCTAGAACAAGAAGGCAGGAGTAAGAAGGCTACTTTTGTGAGCTGTAGAGTAGACAGGCAAGGACTGGGGAACTTACTTGTGTCTGAAACACCCAACAGGTGGGATTTGAACCACTTCTTTGGATAGCTGAAGTGGAAAGATGTCATTTAGCTACTGGTGATGAACTACTGGTGGTGGACTTTTATGGGGGAGCCTGTCAGCCTCTAGACCAGAGAACATCCTAGGACCTTTGTGGTGCATTTACCCACCCTAACTTCTGGGCTGGCGTGAGTTTTTATAATGGATTTCAGCAAAATTATATTCCCTGGACTTTGCTTTTCCTGGTTATTACCTGTTCCTACCTTGTCCTCCCCCTATACTTTAGGAACCTTGGGCAGATTAAGAGAACAACTTATGAAACAGTGCTCCTTGGGCCTTTTTTTCCTGCAGATAGCAGCCTTTTGGGCAAGGACAGCCCCCCCACACCAACCATGTACAAGTATCGGCCAGGTTATAGTAGCAGCAGTACGTCAGCCGCCATGCCTCATTCCTCCAGCGCCAAGGTACTGAGTAAGAAGTATGATTGTAACATGTATTAATTGCTCTGGGAAAAATATTTCAGGGGAAGGAAAAGGCAGAGGGGAAAAGAAAATAGCATTGTACCCACTGTCATCATTAGTGGATTTGATTCTCCTTGATAGTGTGCCCTTCATTATAGGGGGAAGGGTAATAAAATATAAAAGCACTGGGCAGGCATTTAGCTCAGCAGTTAAGGTACCACTTAGGATGCCTGCATCCCAAATCAGAGTGCCTGGGATCTAGTCCTGGCTCTATTTTTTTTTTTTTTTTTTTTTTTAAGATTTATTTGTTAATTTGAAAGGCAGAGTTAAGGGGAGAGAGAGAGAGAGAGATCTTCCATGTGGGTTCACTCCACAAATGGCCACAACAGCTGAGGCTGGGCCAGGCTTAAGCTAGGAGCCTGGAACTCAGTCTGGGTCTCCCATGTAGGTGGCAGGATTCCAAGCACTTGGACCATCTTCTGCTGCTTTCCTAGGCACATTAGCAGAGAGCTTGATCAAAAGTGAAGCACCTGGGACTTGAACCTGCTCTCATACCGGATATTGGTACCCATAAGGGATGTTGGTGTTGGCTTTTTCTGCTTGTGCCACAGCACTGGCCCCTGGCTCCTTTTGTGCTGCCAGCTTCCTAATAACATGTACCCTGGGAGGTGGCATGTGGTGGTTCAAGCTCTTTGGTCACTGCCACCCATGGGGGAGACACATACTGAATTCCGGGCTCCTGGCTTTAGCCTGGCCCAGCCCCAGCTATTGTAGGAATCTGTGGAATGAAGCAGTGGATAGAAGATCTCTGTCTCCATCTTTCTGCCTTTCAAACACAATGAAAATCAATAAATATATATAAGTGATTAAAAGCACTGATAACAGTGTCAGATCTAGTTCAAGACCCAGTTCTGCCTCCATAGGCAAGTTACTTCTCTAAACCTCATTTTCTGTATCTAAAAATGAGATATTAATTTGCTTCAACTCATGAATTTGCTTTAGGTAGGAGTTAAGTAATGCATGTGGAAGTTTTAAGCATATTACTGGACATAATGCTGTGTTGGATGGAACCCTTGGGCTTTGAGATCTAGTGACTGTCACTAGAGGAGCACTAAGAGCCTGCTGTATTTTCTTCCTTAGTTGAGTCGTGGGGACAGCTTGAAGGAGCCAACTTCAATTGCAGAGAGCAGCCGTCATCCCAGTTACCGCTCAGAGCCCAGCTTGGAACCAGAGAGCTTCCGTTCTCCCACCTTCGGCAAAAGCTTTCACTTCGATCCACTTTCCAGTGGCTCACGTTCCTCCAGCCTCAAGTCGGCCCAGGGAACAGGCTTTGAGCTGGGCCAGTTGCAGTCCATTCGTTCAGAGGGTACCACTTCCACCTCCTATAAGAGCCTGGCCAACCAGACACGCAACGGAAGCCTGTCTTATGACAGCCTGCTCACTCCTTCAGACAGCCCTGATTTTGAATCAGTACAGGCAGGGCCTGAGCCAGACCCGCCTTTAGGCTACACCTCTCCCTTCCTGTCAGCCCGCCTGGCCCAGCAACGGGAAGCCGAGAGGCATCCACGTTTGGTGCCAACAGGTCCACCACACCGAGAGCCCTCACCAGTCCGTTATGACAATCTGTCGCGCCACATTGTGGCCTCCCTCCAGGAACGAGAGAAGCTGCTGCGCCAGTCACCCCCGCTCCCAGTCCGTGAGGAAGAACCGGGCTTGGGAGACTCAGGCATTCAGTCAACACCTGGCTCAGGCCATGCCCCTCGTACGAGTTCCTCCTCAGATGATTCAAAGAGATCACCCTTGGGCAAGACTCCACTTGGACGCCCAGCTGTCCCCCGTTTTGGCAAGCCAGAAGGGCTAAGGGGCCGGGGACTAGGGTCCCCTGAACCAGGTCCAACTGCCCCGTATCTGGGCCGTTCAACGTCTTACAGCAGCCAAAAAGCGCCACCTGGTGTCTCTGAGACAGAGGAAGTGGCCTTGCAGCCATTACTGACGCCCAAGTAAGTATTAGTACCATCCTGGCCCTCAGCTGACTTAAAACTAGCATAGTACTCTGCAGAGGACAGCAGGGTTTTGCTTGTACAGTGTTGTGTAGGGGGGACCCAGGGGTTTCCTGATTACTTTTTTTTTTTTTAACGGTAATGCAATTTTTAAAAAGACTTATTTTGTTTATTTGAAAGAGTTACAGGGAGAGGTAGAGACAGAGAGAGAGAGGTCTTCATCCACTGGTGTACTCTCCAGGTGACCACAATGGCTGGAGCTGAGCTGAGCTGATCTGATCTGAAGCCAGGAGCCACAGGAGCCAGAAGCTTTTTCTGGGTCTCCCACGTGGGAGGACCCAAGGACTTGGACCATTCTCTGCTGCTTTCTGAGGAGCATTAGCAGGGGGCTGGATGGGAAGTGGAGCAGCCAGAACTTGAACCAGTGCTCTGCTGATGCTGCAGGACGGGGCTTTAACCTGCTGAGGCACAGCACCAGCCCTTCCCGATTACTCTTTTATAAAAAATTTTTTTAATTTTTTAAAAGATTTATTTATTTGAAAGGCAGAGGCAGAGAGAGATCTTCATCTGCTGGTTCACTTCCCAGATGGCTACAACAGCTGGAGCTGGGCCAGTCGGAAACAAGGAGCGTGGAGCTTCTTCAAGGTCTCCCATTTGGGTGCAGGGGCCCAAGGACTTGGACCATCCTCTACCGCTTTCTCAGGCTGTAGCAGAGAGTGGGATCAGAAGTGGAGCAGCCAGGACTTGAACCAGCGCCCATCTGGGTTGTGGTGCAGAGGTGGCAGCTTTATCCACTATGCCACGGCGCAGCCTCTTCCCCCCGCCACCTCCCTGATTATTCTTATTTTTCCTTCTCAGTCCAACTGCCTTTATGGACTTTTATGGACAACTCCTGTAGAAACTGGATATTACTGTTTCCCTTTAATCTTTTTTTTTTAAGGGTTTTTTTTTTTTTTTTTTTTTTTTTTTTTTTGTGGACAGTGAGAGACAGAGAGAAAGGTCTTCCTTTTGCTGTTGGTTCACCCTCCATCCCTTTAATCTTAATTTTCTAAAAAATGCTTAATATTTGAGAGTGAGTACAGCTGCAATTAGAGGGGAATTAAGAGGGGAGGCAGGGGCTGGCGCCACAGCTCCATAGGCTAATCCTCCGCCTGCGGCGCCAGCACACTGGGTTCTAGTCCCGGTTGGGGCGCCGGATTCTGTCCTGGTTGCTCCTCTTCCAGTCCAGCTCTCTGCTGTGGCCCGGGAGGGCAGTGGAGGATGGCCCAAGTGCTTGGGCCCTGCACCCGCATGGGAGACCAGGAGAGGCACCTGGCTCCTGGCTTTGGATCAGCGTGGTGCGCCGGCCGCAGTGGCCATTGGAGGGTGAACCAACGGTAAAGGAAGACCTTTCTCTCTCTCTCTCTCTCTCTCTCTCTCACTATACACTCTGCCTGTCAAAAAAAATTAAAAAAAAAAATTAAAAAAGAGGGGAGGAAGGGAATTGGGCTTGTGTTAAACAGGGCAATAAAAATAACATTTGTGTCAGAAAGTATATATGTAAAAAGTACAGCACTTTCTTCTGTTAGCCTTTATAACTCTCTCCACTGTTGTTTTTTTTGGTCCCACTTCCTGACACCTGTTTTTTGTCTTTTCTCCTCAGAGATGAAGTACAGCTCAAGACCGCCTACAGCAAATCCAATGGGCAACCCAAGAGCATAGGCTCAGCCTCCCCTGGCCCGGGCCAGCCATCTCTCAGTAGCCCCACAAGGGGAGGAGTCAAGAAGGTGTCAGGAGTGGGTGGTACCACCTATGAGATTTCGGTGTGAGCCTTCAGCGCCTCCCCTTCCCACACCTCTGCGCCTACACCAAAGGGCCCCAGGTGGCCACCTTCCTTCCCTCAAGGGGCTCCCCTCCCCTGCACGGACATTTTTTAAAACACTGATTCCAAGAGGATGAGGAGCGTTTTATAAAATGCAAAAGGGTTTGGGAGTCGGAGAGTTGGGGCCCTGAGACTGGGGTAGCAACCCCCCCTTTTACCTTTTAAGACCTTCCTTTCCCCAATCCCTGGACCAGACTCAGTGGACATTTGTGCAATTGCTCGCCCTGGAGGGAACCAGATCATTTTTAAACCAGAAATAATTTTTTTTATTATTGTTACGGATTCTATTTTTTTCCTCTTCTGCGTTACCAGGTGTGTGTGTACATATATATATATATATATTATAAATATCAAAGAAATTATATATCTATCCTGGGATGGGAAAATGAGGGAGGGATATGTATAAGAAGGAGGATCTTACTGTTCCTGTTCCTCAGACCAGCAGGAAAAGAGGGGAGACACCAGAGTCTTCCTTTTCCCCCATGACTCCCTCTCTTATCTGTTACCAACTAAGGAAGTAGTAGTGCCCCAATGTTGGTGCTATGTGATCAGGAAAGAAACCTGGGGAGAGGCGAGTCTGAGTTCTTGGTTAGAAGAGGAAAGGACATTTGCAAAGTTAGTTTTCTAGGCTTATTGGCATTTAGTTTCCCCAGAAAGGGGTCACAGCTCCATGACATTGGTGGTGGTGGTAGGGGGGGGATCAGGGAAAGCATCTGGCCTCATTTGAAACACTATTAGAAAATCCCCCCCCACTTCTTGGGAGAGAGGGATTAGGGTGGCTTTCATAAATGAGCCCCTCAGAGCTTCCCCTAGCCTACAGTTAAGGTGATTTTAAAGTCCAAGGACAGGAGAGAAGAATCCAAAAAGCAATATTTTTCATCACATGCCAAAAATGGGATAGAGAGGAGTGGCAGGCCTAGGTCCCTCCGGTTGTCCCTTGGGGGTTACCCCTCAGCCCAACTTAGTATGGTGCTGGGAAGAGGGGATACCTGGGTTCTAATCTCTAAATAGGGAAGACCCCAGCCTCTGCACAGAGGCCCTTTTATTTTTTATTCTGATTAGCCATTTTAAACCGACAAAGAATAAAAAGAAATCCTGATCTAACGGCTCCCCCGACTTGTGTTATTGTGTCTGGTGACGCAAGGTGGGAAGTCATCACAAAGAACACCTCACAGACTTCTCTGATCCTGGCCTATCTTAGGCAGGACATAGTGAAATTACTTAAAGCGACAAGTCCTGTTTTAATTTGGGTGATTTAAAAATTCACACGGCTTCATGTTGCTCCTTAACATAAGGATTTTGTCTGCAAAGAAAAATCAAGATACGGAAGCCTGGTAAAAGCAGGTTGACTGGAAATTGAATTAGGTCATCTTATACCCTGTCAAAGGGGAAAGGCTCTGTGCTCATTTTATTTTTTTAAAGATTTATTTATTTGAAAGGCAGAATTAACAGGCAGAGAGGTCTTCCACCGCTGGTTCATTACCCAGATGGCCGTAATGGCTGGAGCTATGCTGATCCGAAGCCAGGGGCCAGCAGTTTCTTCTGGGTCTCCCACATGGGTGCAGGGGCCCAGGGACTTGGGCCATCTTCCACTGCTTTCCCAGGCCATAGCAGAGAGCTGGATCAGAAGTGGAGCTGCCGGGACATGAACCGGTGCCCGTATGGGATGCCAATACTGCAGGCAGTGGCTTCACCCACTACGCCACAGCGCCAGCTCCTCTGCTTTCATTTTAGATAGGCATCCTCAGACACTAATTCTCAGCAGACTGGCTAGAACCCGTTATCTTTACCATCTGCAGCTTAAGCATACAAACTCTTACTCTGAAATCCCGGAGTAAAACAAGCTGAGTGAGTGGTTTTCCATCTACTGACCTAGAACAACCTTGGTTCATGGCAATAGATTTTAACTATTCTGTGTTAAATTTAGTTTAAAGCTAGATTATAGTAGTTTGGGTTTCAGTTACCAACCATACTGCAGAAAAGTAAACTGCTTTCTTTTACACTTTGATAGTCTAGGCTGCCCTTTTTGCTGTCTTGGGAGCTTATCAGCCAAACTGTGTTATCTAAGGAATGAGGCAGGCCAAAGGATTTTATAAAGATAAAAGAAACATTTACCTTTGCTTGCCAGAGGTTCATTTCAAAACATTATAGTTTTCTGACCAAAGAGTCAATCTGGTTGAAGTATACTAAAGAAGATGGTGATTGTAGGTGCTTTTTCAGTTGACTATTCTGTTTCAACCCAAACTTGACCTAGAATCTGTTGAGGTTTAAATGGATCAGCTCTTCAGAGTGGAGCCTGAAGACCATCCAGGCACTTTGTTCCTGACATTATGGGGAGAGTATAATGAAGCTGTGCCTCTTTTGGACCATGTTTCTCAGTCATTTTGGTTGTTTCCCTGCCTGCCAATGAGATAATGCAAGGACGACTCAAATCCCCTTAAAGCTTAGGAATGACTTGTCTTAACCACTGACTTCCATAGAAAGGCACTTACCTCCCTTAACAGACAGCCACACTTGAGCCAGTTTGATAAATGCAGGTATTTTTTTTTTTAAAGAAAAACTTAACAGGTCAAGTTCTGATATTAAACAAATTGCACAAAACAGAAGAAATAGCTTCCTGGGAGAGGAAGAGATGTCCATGAGAAAGCCAACTAGGCTGAGCCTTATAAAAGGATGGCCCTTCCCTCTTCTAATGTATTCATCGCAACCAAGCAGAGCAGGAGTTGGCCTCTGCCTTGGCTGCTGGGTATTCCCAAGGCATTGGCCAAGAGCCGGGAAGGCAGCTTCTGTTAGAAGTTCAGTAGGAAAAGCCATCCTGGTAGAGTCCAGTGGTTGTCAGCGAAGGCTGCTGCTGCTGCTGGCCTGAGAGCTGCCCATACCCGGGTGGTCTGGACTGTGTCGGCTCTGGAGAAGATAAAGGAGGAGGGTAAGAACAACTAGCAACTTGCCCTGAGTTTTCACTCTTGGGTCCAGTTTGAGGCAAAGGACAGGGTGAGATATGGGGAAAAGGGCTGCAGCAACAGGCTCTACCCCTACCTTCTTTTTCTTCTTCTCTTTCTTCTTCCTTTTCCGGTCAGGATCCTCTTCTTTTTTCTTTTTCTTCTTCTTATGATCCGAATCAGATGGTGTTTCTGTAGGAAGCATTAGGGCCTGTTACCTATAATGCTCAAAATTCTCTACTTTGTGAATTTGGAAGACTACAGGACACCAAATTGGGCAAATTTTTTTTTTCTTTTTAGATTTTTAAAAGTTTATTGAAAGGCAAAGTTAGAGAGAAACAGCTCTTCCATCTGCTAGTTCACTCCCCAAACAGCCACAATGGCCAGGACTGGGCCAGGGCAAAGCCAGCCCAGAGTGTCTTCCGGGTCTCCCACACGAGTGCAGAGGCCCAAGGACTTGGCCATCTTCCACGGCCTTCCCAGATGCACTAGCAGGGAGCTGGATAGGTAGTGGAGGAGCCAGGTCTCAGCCCAGTGCCCATATGGGGTGCTGGCATCACAGGCAGGTGCCCAACTGTGTTTCTCTAAATGGCTCTGCTGCCAGAACCCCTGTCCTAAGTCCCTACTTGCCAAAGAGATCAAAGTACATTGTGGAAACTTGGGCATCCAGGGCTGTGTGAGGAATTCACTGGGTTCAACTGTGCAAAGTTGCACCAAATTCAGAAGGTCAGGTTTTCTTGTTTTAACAGGGCTGCTGCTTACCTGGGGGGACAGGATCCTGGGTCCGACTCTGTTTGTGCTTGTGCTTCTTGTTCTTCTTGGGAGGCTGAATATGCATCAGGCGACACTGTTCTGGCAACTGAAGGAAGCAAAGGAAGGTCTGGGTGAGTGGAGAAGGAAATCCTTTGCTCAGTAAGGTACAAGGGAGCAGATGTGGAGAGAGAAAACTCCCTGCCCTCGGCTTCCCCATTTGCTGCCTCTCTCAAGAGGGCACTCACCGGGCCGGTGTGGAGGCGGAAGCCAGCCAGCATGGTCCCTGTGATGGGATTGAAAGAGCCACCAAGAATAGGGGGCTTCTCGATAAGGGAGCGGAGGCTGCTGTTGTCGTGAGAGCCGGGAAGATCGATCATCCCCGGCAGGTCGGGCAGGAAGTTGCTTAGCTTCTCCTTCACCTTCTTGCCACAGAATTTGTTATAGGCTTGTTCCAGGTTGTAGTGTGTGATGAGATTGGTGCTGCCTGTCAGCTCCGTGCTGCCTAGAGAACACAGAGAAACATTAGTCCTAAAAGAGGAGTTTACAGTCACTGACCCAGAAGAAAAGTAAAGGACTATACGAACTGTGACCCAAATAAGGATGCTTTTAAGTGAGAATCATGAAATGTTGAGCTTATATTTTTTTCTCAACCAGAAGAACTGCTGATTTCATTTCCAGACTGCACTTCCCTCAAGAACAACCATTCTCATGATTTTTACCACTTTTCCCAGTTTTGACTTTGACAGAAAAAGCTTATGTTTAAGAAACAGCAAAAGTAAACAGTAACATATAAACACTAGAAGTGCAGTACTACAGAACAACAGGCACGGGAAGGAGAAAGGGCAGAAACCTAAACAGGGCAGACATGGAGGCATTCTGCTCTTCTTGGATGAGCCAGAATGATAATTTACATGGCCTGCATGCTCAACACTGTTCTCTGCTTTTCATAAAGTGTAAGTGAGAAATACTCTCTGATGTTGTGACCAGGAGAGGCCCTCACAGGTCAGCTGGGACCACAGCAAGGGCCATCTGACTCTCTGACTCAGGGGATTGAGGGTCTTTGTCAAGAACTTTGCTTTTCTTTTTTTTTTTTTTTTGGACAGGCAGTTAGTGAGAGAGAGAGAGAGACAAAGGTCTTCCTTTCCCATTGGTTCACCCCCCCAAATGGCTGCTACGGCCAGCATGCTGCGCTGATTTGAAGCCCAGAGCCAGGTGCTTCCTCTGGGTCTCCCATGTGGGTGCAGGGCCCAAGCACTTGGGCCATCCTCCACTGCCCTCCCAGGCCACAGCAGAGAGCTGGACTGGAAGAGGAGCAACCAGGACTAGAATCCGGTGCCCCAACTGGGACTAGAACCCTGTGCGCCGGCGCCGCAGGCGGAGGATTAGCCAAGTGAGCAGTGGCGCTGGCCTTTTTTTTTTTTTTTTTTAAAGATTTATTTTGGGGTCACCGCCTGCAGTGCCATCATCCCATATCGGCACTGGTTCGAGTCCCAGCTGCTCCACTTCCAATCCAGTGCTTTTCTAGGGCCTGGGAAAGCAGTGGAAGATGGCTCAAATCCTTGGGCCCCTGCACTTGTGTGGTAGACCTGGAAGCTCCTGGCTCCTGATCAGCGGAGCTCTGACTGTTGCAGGCACTTGGGGAGTGAGCCAGTAGATGATGGAAGACCTCTCTCTCTCTCTCTGCCTCTCCTTCGCTCTTTGTGTAACTCTTTAAAATCTTATTTGAAAAGATGGAATTGCAGAGAGAGGTCTTCCTTCAGCTGATTCACTCCCTAAATGGCCGCAATGGCAGGAGTTGAGCTGATCCAAAGCCAGGAGCTTCCACTGGTTCTCCCACATGGGGCAGGGGCCCAAGGAGCTGGGCCATTTCCCACTGCTTTCCCAGGCCATGGCAGAGAGCTGGATCAGAAGTGGAACAGCCAAGACTTGAACGGGCACCCTTATGGGATGCCAGCACTGCAGGTGGTAGCTTTACCCACTATGCCACAGTGTCAGCCCCTGTTTTTTCTCTTTAACAATCAAAAAACACTCATCATAGTTATATAGAAAAACAGCAAGGAGATTTTTCTAGCTACTGTTGCTTAACTTTGGTTACCAACATCTTTATTCTCCCTAATGTTACTGAGTATAATGCTTTGCAGACAAAGAAGAAATCTGTAGTTAGAAATTGGCTGGACAACTAGAATTCTAGTGCTGTTCTCCATGCCTTAGTTTCTTGTTATCTGTGGAATGCAATAATAGCTATCTTAAGTAAACTTCATTTTTTTTCAAGATTTAAATGAAAACATACTGAAAAGTATAAATAATCTAAATTTATGGTAAGGGTGAAAATATCTAACCCACAACTTCATCTGTAATTATGATGGACACCTAGGGTACCATGAGCAAAATGATAACTGGGAAAACTCGGGCTCTGAACTGTGGGCTTCTTGAAGGCAGACAACGCTCTGTTCACGTGTTGCTAGTGCTCAGTATTAAGGTGCTTTTCCTGACTGCCCCTAGGCCTTACTGCATCCGTTTCTTTCCCGGCACTGCCAGATGTGTCAGAAGAGTAGTCTGTAACAGCAGCAGCTCTGTAACTGGCACTGCTGCTTGCTACTGCTTTCTGATGTTCCCTCCTCTCTGCCAGTTATCTTCCTCCCAGGTGGTTTTGCTGAAGGTCAGGGAGAAGGTACTGTGCTTTTTCTAAACTCTAACTTCCTGTTTTTGACTATTGCTTTGTAGTTAATTTATAAATCTTTCTCCCCAGCTCTGACTCCTCTCCTGAATGAACCTTCTTTGCAGTAAATTTCATGCAGATTCAATTTTTTTTAATTCAAATTCTTGCCCATGTCACTTATGGCTTCTTCATTTCAATCATGGCACCGCCATTCTTGAGATGTTTTAGAAAGCAGGACTTCTGAGTTCAAAAACCTTCAGGTTTCCTGTTACTCTCGGGAGAAAGCACCCGTTCCTCAGGCATCCAGGGTTATTCACATCTGACTGCATCCAACTTAGCTCTGGGGCTTCATCAGCCACTACTTCCCCAAAGGTAAAATTTCTTTCTTTTTGGTAAAATTTCTGATCCATTCAAATGAGTCTCCACACTTATGAGAAAAAAAAATAGGCATTCCCTCTTATATTGTTTCCTTTTAGGAAAAATCTGTTGTTTTTTTTTTTTTTTCCCCAACCAATGTGAATTCTTCACAGTCCAGCTCAAGTGACATCTAATTTCTTGCTGTCATCATGGATACACCACATTTTGAAAACCATCAAGGAGTTAATGCTGTTCACTAAGATACTGTTAGCTGTGCAGTATTTAAGGCATGACTGCAAAGTAATGAGACTGGTATCGATGAGAAACAGTCACTTGTTTATCCACAAACCACATACTGTGCTTCCCTAACTAACTAAAATAGTCTTCTTATAAACCAAGGACCAAGGGTGGGCATTTGCAGCAGTCGTCACGACACTGCTTGGGATGCCTGTATCCCATACTAGAGTGGCTGGTTCCGTGCCGGCTCCTCTGCTTCTGCTCCAACCTCCAGCTAGGATGCAGGCTGCCAGGCAGCAGATGACGGCAAGGACTCGATCCCTGCCAGCCACAAAGGAGACCTGGATCAAGTTCCCAACTCCTGGCTTTGGCCTGGCCCAGCCCTGGCTGTTGGGGGCATTTGGGGAGTGAACCAGCAGATGGAATGTCTCTCTGCGTCTCTCCCTGGCTTTCAAATAAAGTAAAAATTAGGAAGTAAGGCCCAGACCTGACATCTCTTTCCCCCTTTCAACACATCATTGTTCCTGCACATAGAGCATTTACCAAGAACAGATACCAAGTATCTGCCAACGGGCTGACAGAAACAAGCACAATCAGAGTAAGTGAAAAAAGCTTAAAGAAACTGCTGGTGGTTGTCTCTCTGCATTTCAAATAAAAGGAAAACTATAGTTTAAGAAAAAGCACTAGGGTCCGGCACTGTGGCATAGCAGGTAAAGCCGCAACCGGCAGTGCCGGCATCCCAAATGGGCACCAGTTTGAGTCTCAGCTGCTCCTCTTCTGATCCAGTTCTCTGCTGTGGCCTGGGAAAGCAGCAGAAGATGGCCCACGGCCTCGGGCTCTTGTACCCATGTGGGAGACCCGGAAGAAGCTCCTGGCTCCTGGCTTCGGATCAGCCCAGCCCCAGCTGTTGTGGCCATCTGGGGAGTGACCCAGAGGATGGAAGACCTCTCTCTCTCTGCCTCTCCTCTCTGTTAACTCTGATCATCTAGCAACAGTTATGTCCATTTTCTAAAAGTGAACATCTTTTAATTCAGTTTTTCCACATTTTAAAAATTATTTTATTTGAAAGGCACAGGATGAAATCTTGCATCTGCTGGCCCACTCCGCAGATGCCTGCAACAGCCGCGACTGAGTCTGGAGCTCCACACAGGTCTCCCCTGACAGCGGTAGGAATCCAGGGACGTGCCATCGTCCGCTGCCATCCAGGGTGTACACAGGGTTAGGACTCAATCCAATATGGGATGCGGGCGTTCCAAGCCGTGGCTTAACCTACCGCACCACAACGCCTGCCTCCACCTCAACTCTTGATCACGTTTTCATCCAGCATTAATCACTATCTGATGCTATCTTGCTTACGCTGTCTCCAATGGCAAAAAGGACAAAGATCTTGCCAGTCTGGTTCACAGCTGTAGCTCCAGCATGCAGAACAAACCACATAAATTTGATATGAAATAATTTCGTGTCCTTCTAATCCCGTCTTTGAATAGATGAAGAAACTTGCCCCCAAACCAACAGCCAGCCTGAGGCGGACTGAAACTAAAAAACCTCGGTTCCCTAGGCATATCATTTGAGTTCCGATCTCCATGACCCTGGAGAAGCCAGTGTCAGGGGCACAGCCCAGACCCAGAGACACACACCCACCTCCTCCCAATCCATCCCACGAACCCAATCATCCCTGTGGCTGCGAATCTTCGCAGCTCTTGCAAGTTCCAGCTCCACGGCCCGGGTCCGTGCAGCCTCTGCACCTCCAGCAGCCGGCCAACAGCCACGCCCTCACCTCTTCAGCATTGGACTGGTTAGCTTCGGCCAGGCCTAGTACTCACCAGGCAGTTCCCGCATTAGATAGAAGGGGCCACAACCAGCCACTGACTTGTCTGTGCCGGGAGGAGCGGTGGCCGCCGTGGGAGGCGGCGCTGTGCCGGGTCCCCCGCCCGGCGGCGGCGGGGGCGGGGGTGGAGGCTTTCCTGGTCCGAAGCCTAGTGCGGCTGGGGGAGGTGGTGGGTCAGCTTGAGCCCCGAACAGCGCCGTGAAATTCTCCATCGTCCCCTCCGCACCGGCGCTGCCTCAGTGTCTGGCGTTGATGACTATCATTGGACAATCCTTTCACGGGGTACCGCCCTCTTCCTGTAAAGAAAGCTTATCATTGGATATCTGTGGCTCCACCTACCTTTTTCTGGCAACAACTTCCGTCGCTTTCTGAAAACGTTCAGGAAGTGCTATCTAACCTGATTGAATTCTTCTGGGTCACTTCCGCGGGCCATAAACACATATCCAATAAAATGACCTTGGTAGAAAAAGCGACAACTAGATTGGCCAGTAAACCGGTCAACTCCACTTTTCAACTCGGAATTACGGCGGCATCCAATGAGAAATCTACTTCCGGGTCTAGAGGCGGTTCTTCTGGTAGTTGGGCCAATAGAACGCTCAATGGGGTGGGAGGCGGGCCCAGATTTACGGACGCCGGTGAGCGGCGGGCGCCGCAGGACCTGGAAACATGGCGGTCTTAGCGCCTTTGATTGCTCTGGTGTATTCGGTGCCGCGACTTTCACGATGGCTGGCCAGGCCTTACTACCTTCTGTCTGCCCTGCTCTCTGCTGCCTTCCTGCTCGTGAGGAAATTGCCACCGCTCTGCCATGGACTCCCCACCCAACGCGAAGACGGCAACCCGTGTGACTTTGACTGGGTGAGCGCTCTAGGGCTCAGAACCCCGCGACCTTGACTGTCCCTGCCCCTGCGGGTGCATGTGGAGTCCCGAGTTTCACCTTCCTAAGGACACTTGAGGTTCCCAGCCTCTAGCGGGCTTGCAGACTGCTGAAGGGTGTAGGGCGCAGACTGTCATCGCATCTAAACGAAGTGTTTACGATGGGAAAACGGAGGCGGTGCCTGGTAGCCCCTGCACGACAGCCCCAGTCCGGGCTTCCTGACGCCTCGCTGTTCCTGCCAGTAGACAGCCGTGCCCAAACTCGGCACCTGTGTGGCGTTCTGCAGTACTGCTCATTGTGCAAAGCCTCCCGAGGAGCCTGGGGCGGGGGGCGACGAGGCGGGTAGTGGTCGTAGTCCGGTTTCCTGCTTGAAGAAACCGGCCTGCGCGTGGGCAGCCGACGCGCCCGGGGTCACACGACTGGAGTGCCTGGGCCTTTACAGCGACTTTTCCGGCCATTGGGACTTGCTCGTTCTGTCAGCCATCTCTTCATTGAGCACACTGTGTGCTAAGTACTGTGCTGCACCCGGATGTGGGATGCAAAATTGAATAAAACCTGAAAAGGAATTGGAGAAAAATAAAATAAAATACGTGCCAGGCCGCCTGCGGTGCTTCCTCAGTAGTTTTGAGACCGCTTATTAAAAAAAAAAAAAAAAAAAAAAAAAAGAGTTGAGCCCTCTCCTGGGTAGCAGCATCTGTGGGTTTTTTGTTTTGTTTTGCCTTTTTTTTTTTTTTTTTTTTTTTTAAGATTCATTTATTTCAAAGTCAGAATTACACAGAGGGAGGTCTTTCATCTGCTGTTCACTCCCCAATTGGCCGCAGCGGCCAGAGCTGCACTGGTGCGAAGCCAGGAGCTTCCTCCAGGTCTCCCACAAGGGTGCAGGGGCCCAAGGACTTGGGCCATCTTCTACTGCTTTCCCAGGCCACAGCAGACAGCTGGATCAGAAGAGGAGCAGCTGGGACTTGAACCGGTGGCCATATGAGGTACTGGTACTGCAGGCAGTGGCTTTTACCCGCTACGCCGCAACTGGCCCCCAGCATCTGTGTTCTGATGGAGGACCGACATAAAGAATTTTCCTCTTTTTCCCAGCTACCCACATTTGTCTTGGATTTACCAGAACCCATCCCCTTCCCTTACCCCTCCTTCCCTTGTTTGTTTCCTGCTTCCTCCGCCCTTTCCCAGGCAGGATCAGTGATTAATCAAATGTAGCCATGCTATGTCAAAGGATCCTTTTTTTTTTTTTCTGATACTTGACACCACTTTAAGGAAAGTGAGACTCAAAAATATAAGTAGGTAGGGGTCGGCACTGTGGTGCAGCGGGTTAACGCCCTACTATGAAGTGCCAGCATCCCATATGGCCTCCTGTTTGAGACCCAGCTGCTCCACTTCCAATCCAGCTCTCTGCTGTGGCCTGGGAAAGCAGTAGAAGGTGGCCCAAGTCCCTGGGCCCCTGCACCTGCTTGGGAGACCCGGAAGAAGCTCCTGCCTTCTGGCTTTGGATCGGTGCAGCTCTGGCCGTTGCGGCCATCTGGGGAGTGAACCATCGGATGGAAGATCTCTCTCTCTCTCTCTCTGCCTCTCCTCTCTGTGTTACTCTCACTTTCAAATAAATAAAATAAATACATCTTTAAAAAAATATAGGTAGAAATAAAGGTTTCAAGAAATGTAGGCAATCTTCATCCCTGTATATCCTTTTGTCTAATATACAAAGTACTGAAAGTTTTCTAGATTTTTATTATGGTGTTTAAAAAATTCATTTAGAGTTAATAAGTAGTTTTCATTTTCCTGGAAAATTCAGTTTACTGATTTACCTTGGTGATTGGAGAGTCAGGGAATAAGGTAATAACATAAAACAGCAGTAACAGCTAAACCTCAAGATTTTAGTAGCTTAACAAAGTAAAGGTTTATTTCTATTCCATTAGATAAAGTGAATATTTCTTGTTCTTTTCCTATATGCACTGTGTTTTGTAATAACCAAGTAATTGAAAAGGGAATTTTATTGATGGAATTTTAGTTAGGAAATGCAGATGAAATGATAGTATTAAAATCATTTTTTAGAACTCAAAGTAATACATCTAGGCAATGATCATTTGTGGATGCTAAAACTTTACATCAGGTGACAGGTAAACACATTTCCTGCAGCCACACAGTGGGGACCACATAGAACCAAGTGTGATGTGTTTTTGCCTAAAAATTTGGATTTCATTGTATTTATGCCTCTAGATTTCACTACCACTTTACAAGAAATATGGGAGGGGCAACAAAGCCAGCGATGTGCAGCATCCCATATGGTCATTGGTTCAAGTCCTGGCTGTTCCATTTCTGATCCAGCTCCCTGCTGATGGCCTGGGAAAAGCAGTGAAGAGGGCCCAAATCCTTGGGCCCCTGCAACCCATGTGGGAGTCCTGGAAGAAGCTCCAGGCTCCTGGCTCCTGACCAGGTCTGGCCTATTGGCCGTTTGGGGAGTGAACCTGCAGATGGAAGATCTGCCTCTGCCTCTGTGTAACTCTGCCTTCAAATAAACAAACAAATCTTTGGTGTTTTTTTTATTTTATTTTTTTTATTTGAAAGGCAGAGTTACAGAGAAAGAGGGAGGTCTTTTATCCACTGGTTCACTCCCCAAATGGCCACAATGGCTAGAGCTGGTACAATCAGGAGCCTGGAGCCTGGAGCGCCTTCTGGGTCTCCCACGGTGGCCTCCGTTACTGCTTTCCCTGGAGCATTATCAGGGAGCTGATTGGAAGTGGAGCAGCCGGGACTTGAACAAGTACCCATATGGGATGCTGGTGTTGCAGGTAGCGGCTTTACCTGCTATGTAATAAACAGGCTTTTGCGGGACACCCAAACTGATACCCACTCCGTAGCAGTATGGAAGGCCTTAGACCATCCAATCCGTAGTCTTCCTCCCATGCTTTCTCAAATGGCCCTTGTTACTCTTCATTGCAGTCATTACTTTGAGATTGTTGTGTTGAGTCAGGAGTAGAGCTGGGACTGGAACCCAAGCACTCTGCTAGGAGATAGAGCAGTGTCCTAACAGCTTGGATCTCTTTGGTTCTGTTGAATTCTGTTCCATATTCTTGTCACTTTGATTCTGTTCCAGAGAGAAGTGGAGATACTGATGTTTCTCAGTGCTATTGTGATGATGAAGAACCGCAGATCCAGTAAGTTTAACCTACTTCTCTGTCTCTCAGTTAGGCCTAGTGCCTGCAGAGGTGCTTTCCTTCATGTTACCAGGGGGTCAGAATTTGTCTCTCACCAGTTCCCCCCGCTACACACAGGGAAGGTCAATGGGGTGGGTCACATAGGCTCCTGAAAAGGTTCCGGAGGTGCAGTATTATAGTCCCATATTTCATACTGAGGCTGAATTTGATCTTGGACTAATGTCCCTCCCCCCTCTCCCATTTCAAAGTGTCCCATGAAGAGGAACAAAGAATGGGACAATAGAAGTATGCAGCCCAGCCTGACCTGTGACATCTCTGTGTTTCAGTCACCGTGGAGCAACACATAGGCAACATCTTCATGTTTAGTAAAGTGGCCAATGCAATTCTTTTCTTCCGCCTGGATATTCGCATGGGACTTCTATATATCACACTCTGCATAGGTGAGGAGACTTTAAGTTCTCTGTAAGACTTTGTTGATAAAGACTTGATTGGAAGAAGCAAATGAAGATCCCACACAGGTTTCTCTATGTTTTTTTCATGTCTTGTACCTAATTAATGACGTAAGTGGCGCAAAGGATATGAATCTGCAGCCGCTGCACTTCAGGAGGAAGGGAATGTATTGGTCTCCATGTGTCCACAAGTGTGTTCTTTGGTGGCTGAAGTCCTGACTTGGCTTAGAAGTAAATCCCCTGGGCAAGCCCTCTGTTTCTCTGACATCTTCTTTCTGTGTTTAGTGTTCCTGATGACCTGCAAACCCCCCCTGTATATGGGCCCTGAGTACATCAAGTACTTCAATGATAAAACCATTGATGTGAGTGCTGCTCCTGTTTCTTGGGTCCCTGGTGGGTAACTTTGTATTGTGCTCTCTACTCAGTAGGCGGGACAGTGGCGCTTCAGAGTGGAAGTCAGGGGCACTGTGGTTCATTACAGGAGCTAGGGGAGAGGATAGGTCAGGATGAGGAGTTGTGCTGAGGTCTGAACCTTTCCACAGGCATGTATGATCCTACTCACTATTTGTTCCCTGTGTATGACAGGAGGAACTGGAGAGGGACAGGAGGGTCACTTGGATTGTAGAGTTCTTTGCCAATTGGTCTAATGACTGCCAGTCATTTGCTCCCATCTACGCTGACCTCTCCCTCAAGTGAGTAGTGTGAAGGGAGGGATGATGGCAATTAAGATGTTGAATCTTCCCTCTCATTGATTTGGACCTTGATTTTTGCACATTTCAA